TATAGTAAGCGCGCTAAGCATATTTATAGAGCCTTTATATACCTATACCCCTACTTCTAACTTTTTCCTTTTATAACTTAATATTAATTAATCTAAGTTAGTATTTATTATATTTTAGCTGTTACTTATAAGCGTATTATTCTAAGTAAACTAATAAAATAGAAGATATAATTTATAATAATAACTTTAATTCTATAACTCTTATTATTAATATTAAAAAGAAGGATTACTTTAGATAAAGTTTCAATAAAGTTAAAAATATATAGGTTAAAATAAAGCATAAATAAAGAAAACCCTATTATATTAACAATAAAAAGCTAAATAAGTATTTCTATAAGTATTAAATATGATTATAAAATGAAATAGTATATATAGATAGATTAAAGCTTAATTAATTTATAATAAAATAAATAAGTAAATAAATAAAAAATATATTTATTTTTATACTTTTTTTAATTCTTTTAATTCTTTTAATAAGTAGTTCTTAAGAGAATTTCTAGAATCTTTTAGCTTAATTAATAGTATAAATTTACTAAATCTCAATTCTCAAAAATTAAATAAAAATGAATATCTTTAAACTTCTTAAACTTTAATTAGCTTTATTTTTCATTCTTTGTTTTATTCTTTATTATACTTATTAATTTATTTAAAACTAAAAACGTTAAAATACGATAAGAATAATACTATTAAACTTTTTTTGATAATTCTCTTTACAATAACTATATAATTCAAAGTATACATAACTATATAATTTAAAGTATAAAAAAGTAGAAAATATAAATAAAATATTAATTAATTAAGCTTATATTTATATGTTTACTTTTATATCTCTAAAGATTAATTAGAAAATTAATATATAAGTATTAAGGCGTTTTTAAAATAGTTTTTTAATTAAAATAAAGGATTTAGCATAATTAGTAAGTATTCTCTTATATTTTATTTTAATATAGTTTAATTAAACTATCAAGTCTATAGTTATAATATAGCCTCCTTATAAAAAGACTATAGTAAAATTCACTCTCTATATAAGTATAATTTTAGAAATACTATATAGGTATTTTAATTAATACTTTCTACTAATTAAAGAAAATAATATAGAAACCTTATATATTCCTATTAGTAAGTAAACCTTTATATGAAGTTAAATATATAATTTACCTAAATAGATTAATAGTATAGTAATAGCGCTAGCTATATTATAAGCTAGTAATATTATATATAATAAGGCTAATTATATTAAAGCTAAATAAGTTATTAAAGTCTTTATAGCTTAACAATAGTTTTACTAAACTTTCTAGTAAGGTTAATACTATTATATTAAAGATAACTTTTTAACTAAAAAGGTTATTAAAATAGGTTCTTATAACTAAAAATATAAAAACTCTACTATAAAGCTTTGTACTTATTTCTCTTCTTCTTCTTCCTTTTTAAACCTATATTAATAATAACTTATAATAAATCCTTTATAATATTTATACTATAAGAGATATATCAAAATACTAGTCCCTTATAAAGTATACCTTTTTATAAATAAATAGCTAAAAGTATTACTATATAGAATAATATCTATATATTAAATAAAACTTTTAAATTTAATAAATACTCTTTTATTAATTAATAGTATATTATTAAAGTAGTTATAGCTAAAGCTTTTATAAATACTTTTAGAGGGGACTTTCTTTACATTATAATTAAAGTAATAGATAATAGCTTTAAATACTTCTATATAGAAGCTATATATATTTCTAGCTATTCTAAAAAGTAGCTTTTCTTTATATAAATCTTCTATAATACTAAACTAGAAGTAGCTTAAGTTTAAACTTAGTAAGGCTTATTAGTAAGTATACTTTATACTAAATAGAGAGAATATTATTAATAATAGTATAGCTAATAATAAATAGTTAAGTAGTAATAAGGATAGTATTCAATAGTAGTATAAGTAATATATAAGAGAAAGGATAGATTAATAGTTTAGTAGTTAATAATTAAATAATTATAAACTATCTTATTATTAAAATAAAGTTAAAGATTATAAGGCTACATATATAATTAGGAGTTATAAAGTTAAGAGGTTCATTACTCTAAATAGGTAAAAATTATAATAGGTAGCTAGAGGCTTTAATTAAACTATTAATATAGTATTTACTACTTTTTATATATTAAAGGCTAAAAAGTTTTATGAAACTAACATTATTTAAAATAATAAATATATTTAAAATAACGCTATAATTAAAATAAATAAACAGTTAGATCATTATTATGAAGTTAAGTTTATAATTATAAATATAAACCTCTTAATATAGAAACTTTGTATATTTTTATTAATAAATAAACGTTTTAAACATTATAGAGTAAATTATATATTTTAGTTAAATATATTAATAAAATAGTAATAGCGCTAAGTATATACTTATATAATAATATTATTAACCTATAAAAGCTTTAATAACTTATTTAGCCTTAATATAATTAGCTCTACTATATATAATACTATTAGCTTTATATTATATACTTAGCGCTATTACTATTTTATTAATATATTTAACTAAAATATATAATTTACTCTATAATGTTTAAAACGTTTATTTATTAATAAAAATATACAAAGTTTCTATATTATTTTATTTAATAAGTAAAAAATATAAATTAGAGTATTAATCTAATATTTCTAAAATTATATCTATATATAAAGTAAATTTTATTAGTATAAGTATAAGTATATTTAGAGGTGTAGTATATACGCCTATATAGTATGAGGTCATAGATAAGCTAATATTATAATAATAGGTGATAATCTTAAGCATTTATAGGTATTTAATTATATAACGTACATGCATAGCGAGTGGGCCATCATAGCGAGCGGGCCACTTCCAAATACCCTCCGGCCATTTGTGTAAGTAAGTTAAGCCACATCGTACGAAATTAATTGGAACTACTCATCAGCCTCTTCTTCAGAGGTCTCCCAAACTACCTGACATGTTCGTACGTTATGTCCAGTCTTTCCGCAGTTACCACATCGCCGCCCGCGCGATTCACCTCCCTCCGTACGAGCACCCTCCTGACGCATGTTTTCGCCTCCAGCATCAACAACCCCCTTCTCTACCCGTAATGCCTCAGCTTCAGCTGCATTAAGTGACCCTCCAAGACGCAGTTGGGTTTTTTTAGCCCTCCGGCGCTTACTTAGTATCTCATTTGCCGTACGAAGCCCGCGGCACTCGGCTTCAACAAGAGCTAGTTTGTGTGCTAACTTGCTAATACCTTTAGCTTGCAAGTCAACAACTTCGTACAAATGAGTTGGTGAGCTATTTTGATGACTATTAGTCCTTTTCTTAAGTGAGGCAGAGCTTCGTAAGGCGTCATGTGCTGTGGTTGGTGTCTTTGGGTCCCAGGAGCCCTGGCTGCTTGGGCGTGAGTTGGATGGTGTTGGCGTCTTTGGCTTAGAATCCAGGCGGGTAATAACTACGTCTGGGTTAAAAGGTACAATTCCGGCCTGTCTAAAACCAGCTTGTACGTTTTTTTCGCTTATTGAAGCAAAAAAGGCTGCTTTGAAAGCAGGAAAAAAGTCGTCCTTGGTAATATGCGTAATCTGCATCCGCATCATCTTCTCGATTTCCTTGCCGTAAGAAGCCTTCAGCGGACTAAAACAGCCAACATCAAGAGGCTGAAGCTCGTGCGATGAATGAGGAGGCATGCAAAGAGCAATAATGCCGTGTTCCTTGCAGTAATCGTCAAACTTGGTGGATTTGTGGCTGTTGTGGCCATCAAGGATTAGGAGCCGCTTAACACCCTTCGTGCGAGACTTTGTACATTTTTCAAAATGCTTTAGCCAATCTAGGCCAATATCATTTGTAGTCCATCCATTTTCGCTAGGGTGGACGCGCCATTCGGGTGGGAATTGGCCATTGGTATACCATGAGAGTAGGTGATATTTGCCCTTAACAATGACGTATGGAGGCAGCGCCCAGCCATCTGCACATACGCCCTGAATGACAGAAACCCATTCGCGATTGCCAGGCTGCTTCGTACGAGGCCTTCCACGGCGGTCAGAGGTTGTAATAACCTTTGCGTGCGACAGCATTCCCATCAAGAAGCCCGTCTCATCAAAATTGTAGACATCGTCATCGTGTATTCCGTACTTCGCGATTGTGTTTCGTACGAGGGCAAACCAGGCCTGCACAATTGCAGGATCTTCAGCCAATGCCCTCTGATAGTCGATTCTACGTCGAAAACGCGTCTTTAGTTGTGGTTGGCGTCGTACGAAGTTCTCTGCCCATCGCGGTCCGACACGCGTCGCGTCACGTTCGTCAAGGAGACAATCGGCCATATCTCGTACGTCGTCAAGTCACGGTGGAAATCCTCGATCAATCAGGTCAATAACTCGTTCAAGAATCACATTTTCTTCCACCTGAGTCATCTTCATTGAATTCGTACGAGTTTCGCGTCGTGGTAGAAGTCCAGCGCGTCGGTCGCGAAGTGTAGTTCTCGGGACCTTATAAATAGAAGCTGCTTTTCGAACGGATAGTTTTGGGTCCTTTTTAATAGCTTCAATTGCAAGGATAATGCGACTTTCATTTGAAGAAGAACTCATGGTCGTACGTAGAGGAAGGTTGTTGTGAAGGTGAAGAGTGTAGAATTAAGGAAAAGTGGGCGGCTCGCTATGATGGGCGACTCGCTATGCATATAAGTTAACTATGATCACATTTGTGCTTGTCTTACCGAGCGGTACCATGGAATTCACCGAAATGATTGATGAGACATCTGACTTCTCAACGGCGTCGATCCGTCTGTGTCAGTCCAATTTGCAATGTCTCGGTCGGGACCGTTGAGATCGTCACCAACAAAAGAAACGCCCGAGACATTCACGCAGACAATGGTACGCCAGTTTGATGTGGTAATAGTATTTGACATTAACGTCGTATGACATCAGTAAGTGGTATCTTTGTGGTATCATCTTTCGCTTCCCAACTTCATTTCACAAAAATCATTCACAAAACAACATATCAACATGACCCCAGCACGAAACACGTCCAGAAGAAGGAACTAAACGCCAACATGGTCAACATCCCCAGCGTCGAGGCGCCGTTCTGCATGCTGTTGTACGTGGTCGGCGACGGCACCGCCGCGCTCGTGCTGTCCCCAGGCGTGGACACGACCTCGCCCGTCGAGGCCTCGACGACGTCGCCGGAGGGGTACTGCACATTGTACACGGGCGCGTCCTTCAGCTCCACGGGCATGCCGAGCGAGTGCTTGCACGTCGGCTGGTTCGCGTTCGGCCAGTCCTCGAGCTCGCAGCTTTCGTCGTAGCCCCACGAGCACACGGAGTCGAGCATGTTATACAGCGCGTAGTTGCTGCCGACCCAGCTGTCGGCCTGGCCGAGGCAGCTCGCGAGGAAGTTCATGCTGTTGGACGCGCTGAGGGGCAGCTTCTTGCTCTTGGTCTTGATGAGGTCCTTGCAGTCGTCGGCGGGCAGCTCCTCGTACTCCATGGCGAGCGGGCCGCCCGAGACGGGCAGCTTCTTGGCGGAGTTGCCGGTGTAGAGGTAGTTCCAGGCATCGTAGGAGATGTCGTAGGCGCCCTGGGACTGGTCGATGCGCAGCAGCTTGAGGTTGCGGTCGGCGTAGCTGAGGGAGATGCAGATGTTGTTGCAGTCGACGGAGCCGGGCCAGTAGGCGACGCGGTCGGTGTTGATCTTGCAGCCGAGGACGCCGACGGAGGAGGAGTAGCTGTCGTGGGGCGTGGCCCAGACGGTGCCGTCGGCGAGGACGAGGGAGGAGAGGGACGCTACGGCGGCGACGACGAGGAAAAGATGCGACGGCGATGAAGGAGAGGCGCCGCGCATGGTGATTTCAAAAGAGTGAGCAGGGGGGCCTGGGTTCAACCGGCCGTCCCCCTTTGGATAGATACGTAAGGAATGACGTTGTTTGAGTGCCCTTTTTCGGCTGGTATGAGAGATAAGGAATGGACCAGCCGCGGTTGCGGCCGATATGCGAGTCTAAAGGAGGGTCATGGATTGGATCTGCAGCTTGTGCTGGTGTGGTGTGTGGATTGTGAGAAGAGAGAGAAGGGGAAAAATTGGATCGCGATGTCGGGCGCGACACTGGACTCACCTTACCCCTCGAGATTGCCGCAGCTCGAGCAGCCAATCTCGCTTAATTGGCGCTTACGATTCGCTGGACCGCCAATGCAGACCCGCTGAACTGCCCTTTTTCAGTTTAGAAGAACCTTAAAAGGGGGTCCAAGGGTCCCGAGCGATCCGTGCGCTTTGTGCATTGTTTTCCGCGTGTTTTTGGTTCTTTTTTCGGTGTCGCCCAGGTGAGCTAGGTGGGTTTCCGACCGGCTCGGTCAGTCTCGGTAAGCCAGCCGGCCTGCAGCCGACGCGGCCGATCGGCCCCGCCATTGCGATCGGTCGCTTCGCGCAGCCCGGACGGGACAGAGCGCCGGTTGGAACATTCGACGAAGGGTTCTCCGGTTACAGCGCCAATGCTCCTGTCACAACAAACATCATTCGCTCGCCACGTGCTGTGCATTGTGCTATGTGTCAAACGACAGCGGGCCACGAGGTCGAATCTGCTTGCGTCGCACTCCAAAGGTGCCAACCGACCCCGTGACACCGGCTCAAATTTGACATTCCTCCCTTACATGCCTGACTACCACTCCAGCGTGTTGCGCATATCGTGAGATGGGTTAAAAGAGACCGAAAAGTGATGCAAGGACACCCTTCTTGTGCGCGGAGAAGCACTGGGCTCCACTCTGGGTCTCTTCCGAGAATGTCTCTTCTGACTCAGAATGCAGCGGATAATTGAATATCTAGTGATCTTCTGGATCGCGACAATCGCCTCAATGAGCTTACTGGATGATCTAGCGCAGGTACGAATCCGGTCAATCTGTCGTTGCAGGACTCGACTACTTCGCACCAACGGCTAGCGACATTACAGATGACAGTCAAAAACAATGCGCGCAGCACGTCCATCCACTGAACACACACCTGAACCCTAAACTAACGGACGGGAGCTAGGGCCAACGTCCCGCACGTGGCACTGCACGCGGAACTCGATCCCCCAACCCAGATTATTTACAGCCTTTTTCGAAGAGCGGTTTCGCAACGTTGTCTGGAAAGAGTTTAGACAACGACATGCCAGTTGCGAACGGAATTCAACGGCCAGAGAGAAAATTTTGTTCAATCTTGGCTGCTAGCGCACTGATTTTGAGAGGAATCTAACGCCCTTAGTTCCTCAACAATTGCGGATACGAATGCTTGCAGAGACCCTCTAACTGTTGCTTGGCACACTCGAAATCGCTCAGATGGGCGGGATTCACATCGACAAGAAGGAAAATTGGAGGTCCCGGGTCCCAGGTCACACAAATTGACCCAAGGGATGCTGGAAAGAAACAATCCACAAACGGATCCTGCAAGCGCTTCTATCGGCTCCACACGCGTTGAGAGGCGAACTGTGACGCACCTTCCAACTTCGACCCCGCAACATTATATTAACGACTCCCGGGAGCGGTGTGGAAAAGCCGCAAACGGGCCCCGGCAGGTACCGGGGCTCGGATTTCCCTGGGTCTACCGAGAAATCCAAGATTTCCACTGAACAAGCTTGCATGGGAAAAGAGGAAGAAGAAAGGGAGCATGCAGAGAGCGTTTCTTTTTTCGACATTTGACAGGACGGCTGCGTGCAGCTGGACTACCTGAACTCTCGGACATGCCAGACACATGCTTCCGGAACGTTGTCAAAGCAGTCGCGTGTCTTACTCTTCAAGTGATTAGTAGGCAAGACTATTCGGACCGAGGTGTTCGGACAGATCGAACGTCCCGCACGAGCTGGAAGCTCAATTCGGACTGCCAAACATACGAGAAAGAGCAAGCTGACAGTCCTTTTTGGAGATGTGCACGACCCGTCGTAGCCGGAGGGCCTCGTCGATGGCCCTCTTCATTGGGCAGCGGGCGAGATGTGGTGCCTCGCAGATCGCGAGCCCGGTCCTCGCTTTCGGGAACGTCCTCGTTGTCCGCCGGCCAGTGAGGTTCTGGGTACGAGGTGCGCGCAGACTTGGGAGGCTGGCACTAATGCTCCCCGCCGAGATGCTACTGCTAGTGCAGTGTCGTGCACTTTTGAGATGGAGATTTCATTCGTTTCCCCCTGGCCCGGCTTCTTTTTTCTGTGGATGTTCTGCTTTGGAGCTAGTACACTGGTGGAATTTCCCGCCTCATCCGCGCGCAACCCCAACGGTTTTTGGCGGCCCCAATTCAATTTACGAGCAGCTGGCAGCCTGGTCAAGCAAAAAGTTGGCGACAACGAAGAGAGGGAGTGGAGGGGGGATTCGATTCTTTCGCAGTGAATCCGATCCAGAACCCCACAGCCTTTCGGAGCGCATTACCGTGGTTGGATACCAAATCCGAAGTCGTTGCGCCTCGTGGATGGGCGTGCTAGTGCCGGTACAGGGATCCAGGTCGTCGATCTGCGTCAGCCGACCTTCTTTCGGATGGGGCTTCTGGATGCGCAGATGGAACTGTGAATGGGAGTGTGAGGCCCATCTCCATCACCCCGCATTCCACCCCCACCACGGCCAACCCATGCATCCATGCATCCTGGGTAGATTTGGGCGGACACTATTGGGACCTCCCCTCTTGGCCCGCGTCTGTAGCACAACGCTATTGTGTGCCGCGCAGCAATGCTTTTGCCTTTGGAGGTGGGAGGTGCTAAGATCCAGGGCGCCTATGCTTCCCCAAGCTCACCCGCTCGCAACCACCACGACACGTTTGGAGACACACACGCTGAGTCGCGCGCACACGAACACACCAACATGTCGAGAGATCAGAGGAACATCAGTTCCTCATCCGGACGGAGTTCCTGGTTCCTGGTGTTCCCGTCGGCGGAACGGTCTCACAATCACATGCTCACGGCGCAAAGAAGGGACGCAAAATGCATGAATTTCCACGCCGCCAGTGTTGACCGCCTTGCGCATGTCTACCTTACCACCCCTGGTTCCTGTGCTGACCGCGTAAAGTCCGTCAGTCTTTCGCATCTGCAGCTTCGCGCTGACAACGGACAATGCAATCCACCCCAGATTCTGCCGCCCGACATACCGAGGTGGGCAAAAAACACAATGCGATGGCCCTGTCAACGCGCGCATATTCCCATGTGAAGTTGCTACGTCACAAGGCTGGGTTCCCGTTGCGGGTTTCCAGACGCTCCCGAGAGATGCTGACCTTTTGAACTGCCGTGGTCATTCGGCTGCCCTCTACCGGGCACGTATTCGCAGCAGATGCATCACATCTCGCACCCCCGGCACTGAAGGCCCCACTACCCCATGGGGAACGTTGCATTTCCAATTTTCTGCGTTTTTTTACTCACTCTCTTTCTGCCCCGTCTTATTCCACCTGCTAGACAAGGTCCAGCACGACAGAGATACCCGCCTGATGGAGGATCATCACGACTCAGGGATTGGCGGGGACGTGAAGCCTTCTCCTCCCAGTTGACCCTCCATTCCCGCTAGCACGATGGACGGGCCACTTGCACCACGCGCGCACCACCATCCACCATCCACCATCCGCGCGCACACACCCTCCCGGGATCATGTCTTGAACTCGTGGTGGGTGCGGTTTGTCTTGGGTGTTCCCACCGATCCATCCGCCCTAGAGCCAATTGCTCTCTCATTTGTGGGAACTGGACAAGCAAAGCAAAAACAAAACAGTCGAGAGTCTCCAAGACCCAATTGAACTTAAATAGCCCGCCATCGTCCCCATTCTCCACGATGGCCTCTATTGTGCTGAGGCGTTCGAGACAGCTCACCGGGATCGACTACAGCCAAGCAATCACCGACTAGGTGCATCCCCAGCTCCATCCCCCGTCCCTACCTCCTCCAGATTTCCAGACGACAGTCCCCGTCCCGTCCATCATGCAGCTTCCCGCCCTCGTCTCGTCCTTCTCCCTCCTGGGGGCTGCCTTGGCGGTTTCAGAGCACACGCAGCCCTTGGAAGACAGGGCTGCCACCGCGACCGTCGTCCTCGACACGGCCACCGTCATTGGCAATGTCATGAACAATGTGGAATCCTTCGGCGGCATCCCCTACGCGAAGCCGCCCACCGGCTCGCTGCGACTGAAGCCCCCCGTGCGCCTGACTGACAACATCGGCACCTTCGACGCCACCGGCCCTGCCGGGGCCTGTCCCCAGATGGTGGCCTCTTCCGCTAGCACGAACGCCCTCATTGACATCCTCGGAGACATTGCGAACCTGCCCTTCATCCAGACGGCCACCGGGCAGAGCGAGGACTGCCTCACGATCACCGTGGCCCGCCCTCAGGGCACCACGGCTGATGCGAAGCTGCCCGTACTCTACTGGATCTTCGGAGGTGGTTTCGAGGTACGTCATTCGTCCGACCTGCGCGTTCATCCCGTGTGGCTAACCTTCATCCCAACAGCTCGGATGGTCCTCCATGTACGACGGCACCGGCCTCGTCCAGCACGGCGTCGACATCAACAAGCCCTTCGTCTTCGTCGCCGTCAACTACCGCGTCGCCGGCTTCGGCTTCCTCCCCGGCAAGGAGATCCTCGCCGACGGCTCCGCCAACCTCGGTCTCCTCGACCAGCGCATGGGCCTCGAGTGGGTTGCCGACAACATCGCCGCCTTCGGCGGCGACCCCGACAAGGTCACCATCTGGGGCGAATCCGCCGGCGCCATCTCCGTCTTTGACCAGATGGCCCTCTACGGCGGCGACAACAAGTACAAGGGCAAGCCGCTCTTCCGCGGTGCCATCATGAACTCGGGCAGCATCACTCCCACCGACCCCGTCGACTGCCCCAAGGGCCAGGCCATCTACGACACCGTCGTCAAGAACGCCGGCTGCGCCGGCAAGGCAGACACCCTCGCCTGTCTGCGCGAGGTCGACTACACCACCTTCCTCAACGCCGCCACCTCCGTCCCGGGCATTCTGTCTTACAACTCCCTCGCGCTGTCGTACCTCCCGCGCCCCGACGGCACCGCCCTCCCCGCCAGCCCTGACGTCCTCGCCAAGGAGGGCCGGTACGCCGCCGTCCCCATGATCATCGGCGACCAGGAGGACGAGGGCACGCTCTTCGGCCTCTTCCAGGCGAACCTCACCACCACCGACAAGTTCGTGCAGTACCTCAAGGACTACTACTTCGCGACCGCCACGACGGACCAGATCAAGGCGTACGTCGCCACCTACGACACCGGCATCAACGCCATCATCAACGGCAGCCCGCACCGCACCGGCCTGCTCAACGAGATCTTCCCGGGCTTTAAGCTGCGCGCCGCGGTCCTCGGCGACCTCGTCTTCACGCTGACGCGCCGCGTGTTCCTGCAGCTGGCCGCGGTGGTCAACCCTAGTGTCCCCGCGTGGTCGTACCTCGCGTCGTACGACTACGGCACGCCGATCCTCGGCACGTTCCACGGCTCGGACCTGCTGCAGGTGTTCTACGGCGTCAAGGACAACTACGCGGCGCGCAGCATCCGCACGTACTACACCAACTTCGTGTACGCGCTCGACCCCAACGTCGGGCTGAACGGGGCGTACCCGACGTGGGCGCAGTGGGGCCAGGGGCAGAACATGATGCAGTTCTTTGCCAACTCGGCGAGCACGCTCAAGGACGATTTCAGGAAGAGCAGCTCCGACTGGATCTTGAACAATGCTGGGAGCTTGTACTTTTAATTAGTAATTTGGGGACTTGTGGAGTTTGAGGTACATGTTTTATGATTTATGATGGCTATAGTTACGAATACCAAAAGGATAATGTTGGCACAATTCTGATGATGCTCGTGTGTGAGTGGGCCGAAGCTTGTTCGGTGGTGAATAGGCCGAGCGTCCGTGATGTGCGGGGAAACTTCCCGCTAGCGTCCGCGTCTCGGCGATGACTAAGCCCGAGTCCTCCGACGTCTCCGTCATGTCTCTCGGAGGGTGAACGGGTGTGTGCTGAAATTGAGTCGAATCACGCTTGCCTTCTCAGGTGCAAGTTCCAGACATAGCTTTCTGCACCCGAGGTAGAAGGCGATTGTCGGCAAAATGCCAGACCCCTTCGTGCTAAGATGGGGCATCATGGCCACCGGCGCCATGTCCGAATGTAAGCCCCCTCAGCCCCTCCCGTGACCATGCCTCTAACACCCAAAAGACTTCTGCAAAGACCTTCTCACCAATCCATCAACCCGCGCCGTCACCGACATATCCCACACCATCGCCGCCGTCTCCTCCTCCAACGACCCCTCTAAAGCCACCGCCTTTCTGTCCCGCATCGCCCACCCGGCTCCGTCCACTGTAAACACCTACGGCTCATACCAAGCCCTGGTAAACGACTTGTCCGTCGACATCGTGTACATCGCCACGCCGCATAGCCACCACTTCCAAACGCCATGCTTGCCCTCACCGCGGGGAAACACGTGCTCTGCGAGAAGGCGCTGTGCGTCACCGCGGCGCAGGCGCGTTGCTTGGTGCTCACTGCAAAGGAGAGGAAGCTGTTCTTCATGGAGGGCGTGTGGACGCGCTTTTTCCCGCTGAGCAGGCGGATTTGCGAGTTGGTTAGTGGGGGCGAGATTGGGACGGTCTATCGTGTTTCAGCGGACCTCTCGCGGGCGAATGGTGACGGCGACGATGTGACGGGTAAGAGGTTGGATTACGAGGACAGGCATCGTATGGTGAATCCCGAGCTGGCCGGGGGCGTGCTACTTGGGCTGGGTGTGTACGCGCTCACGTGGGTGTTTCAGATCCTCTACCACCTCCAATCCGAGGATGAGAAGGAGGCGCCGGAGGTGAAGGCTGCGGTGCAGAAGTACCACACGGGGATTGACGAGTCCGTCGCGATGCTGCTCAGCTTTCCGCGCCATGGGGCGGTCGGGGTTGCTACTGCGTCGTTGCGCGTGGCGACGGATCCCGGGGAGACCGGGAACCCGGCGGTGAGGATACAAGGGTCCAAAGGGGAGATACAGGTGGCGCATCCGGCGTATAAACCGGCCTTGTTCAGGATCATCAAGCAGCACGGCAATGGCGGGGAAAGTGTGGAAGAGGTGGTTGAGTGTCCGCAGCCGCAGGATGGTGAGCGGAGATGGGGGAATGGGACGTTCTGGGAGGCGGATGAGAGTGCGAGGTGTATCCGGAATGGAAGGTTGGAGAGTGAGATTATGCCGTGGGCGGAGAGTGTGTTGGTAATGGAGACGATGGACAAGGTTTTGCGCGGGGCTGAGATTATGTATCCGGACGTCATCTCGAGCTGTGAATTTGATTCGCTCAGTCCGTTAAATACGGGCAGCTGGGTTTAGATAGGAGCAAAGGAGAGTCTGTCGAGTGCACTGGGTGTATCGAGCATATCGAGCACATTGGGCATGTCGAATATACCGAGTAGACTGAGCGTAGAAGATTTACCGCCTACTTCATCACAATAGTTTCCTCACTTCTCTAGGCATTATATAGACACTGAAAATGGTCCAGCGGTGTTACGAATATTAGGAGCATTTGCTGCTTAGCAATCGTGGCTCAACTTCTGCAAAAAGAAAGCTGCAGAGATGGCTCGCGAATTGCCGATCACGATCGGCGTCTCGTTTTGATGCGACCACCAATTACTAGCCTGCTTAATGGCTAAAGGTTAAAATCTGCCTCGGGGCCAGACATACCACCCTGCAGCATTCAATGTGAGCCCTGTATGCTCCATTGGACCCCTGAGTTATCATGAGGCCACGACTGCATGAGAGCCTGATTTTGATGCGTAGTACGCAGACCGGCAATACATGCTGCATTGATTGATCGGCACTGGATAGCCAATCACCACCCACCCGGAAGCAGGACCATGCAGAATCATGCGGTCGCCGGTCAGGCGCTGAGTTGGCATTGCAGGAGAGCGCCCGAAGCTTTCGAAATTACAATTGTAAAGATGGGACACTAAAGGACGAAGGTTACCTCGCAAAAGATATCGTCCAGAAGGCTCTCCTCATCTCACTTCTCCAGTCTCTTCTCAATCCATCACACGACTACAACGGAGCCGGTTGCTCAAGGCCGCCACAAAGTCCAGAAACATGTCGTTCGGGTTCAGCATCGGTGATATTGTCCTAATTTTGCGAGGGCTCGTGCGATGTGCAAGTCTTCTCCGCGGCGAGGCCGTCAACGGCTTTGCGGAGCACGTAGAGGCCTATGAATCCTTTGCGAACGGAGCCGCCTACTTGCGCAAATTTCTGGAAGCCGAAGGGGAGGCACTGAAGCCACATTTGCGTGTGGAACTCAGGTCGCTGAATCGACTGTTGAAGGACTTTCTCGCACGGATGCAACAACTTCAGCCGTCCTTAGGCAAAGATCGTAAGGAGAAAGGGTTTCGAAGGATCATTCAGAAGATACGATGGCCTTTTTACGAAAAGATTCTGAGTGGGATTTGTCACAAGCTCAGCTCCAAGTTCAACATGATCAAATTCATCGTAGACCTGAATAATGGGTGAGTAGTCCCTGCCCGGATAGAAAGCTGCTAAAGGGCCGGTCTGACATTCGAATAGATCGTCCATTCCTTTTATGAACCTTTGCCCTTCAGCCGGACCTCCCAGGCCCCCAGTTCCCGGGCCCAAAATCGTCCTCGTGGATGCTCGGTCCGAATATCATGGCCTGTCAATGGCAGGCGTGAAATCCTGGGATGTAAGTAGTACATCTATGACTAACCTTCCATTTTCTTTCCAAACGTAGATGATGCGATCTCCTGAAACCTATTGCCGAGGTAATGACTAATTCGTCCTAGGATTTGGCGACCTTTATTGAAAGGTTGTTTTGTGTCGGCGGTCAATCGTGCCTGGCCGTGAAGAACAGAAGTTACATTCTGCGGAACAACACGACTGAAGAGATGTTCCTTGTCAATAGTCCTAGTATTCCTCCCTGGGAGGACTCGGTTCAAGATGGACATGAACTCGAAATGAGCATGCTTTTTCCGAACCACACGGACTACAACAGCTTCTGTCCCAAATGCAAAAGATCTTGGTCAAATCCAGTCAGTATGGAGATGTTCTGGTATGTACATTCTTTCGAGAGTTGCCTCGAGGGCCCAAGGCTAACCACTCCACAGCACCAGGTGTGGCCTCTCCGCACGATTCCTGGATTCCTTCGACGACGAGCCAGACCCCGTCACTTCATTGGCGCTGAAGGACATCCGGAGAACAGGCTTGCGATTGGTCATAGAGCAAACCATGCTAGGCTTTGATGAAAGAGAACCGAAGAAGATGAAGAACCAGGAGATGCTCTATGAACAAACTATGAACGCGTTGGCTAAATCCAAGAACGAGCTCGGTCCTCGTCCAATGGCCCCTGCTCGCAACGACAAGTCAGAAATCAAGGACTTTCGAAGAATCACTCTCTGTAGCGAGCAGTGGCCAGATTTTGCCAGGGCGGTTTCGGCCGCCGATTGGAACAACAACAGGGCCCGCGCAATCGTTCGGGGTCTGAAGCATTTCTTAGCAGCAAAGACCTTTTCCGAGAGTGCTCTTGCATTCATTGTCAACAATAGTATAATAGGCACCCGCCGGGGCCCCGAGACGGCGTTCTTACAGTCAATCATCGATGCGTCTACTGATCGTCAGACTCTATGGGTGCCCCCGCAGGAATTTCTTTCGTCCCTGGAAGATTATATCTGTTGTGCTCGTAACGCCAAAGCACAACATTCAACTTCCGCCTTCCAACTCCGATGTTTGCTGTGGACCTACTCCGAGACTCTCGAACTGCATGCCGACTTGATACGCACTTCCTGCTGCCTCTTCAACCGCTGGTCTGGATCTGAAAGATCCACCCAAATCATATTTTCTTCTCCTCGAATGTTGACGCGCGGTCTTGCAGTCCCTCAAGGTGTTATCTGTGAGCTTTCTTTGGATATTGTCGCGGGCATTGCCCGCATCTTCAGGGAACGAGATCCAGTGCATGTCCTGGCTTGTCTGCCACTCTTGATCAAAGACTCAGCAGAGATAGCGGTTGCGTATCACCTTGATGGCAATCTCGCTGCCTACTTTCGCCAGGCTCGCGTCTCTCGAGACAGCGCTGTCCACCAGTTGAACCACGCCAGTCAAAGATGGATTGAATCTACGACCGAATCTCGTGGGAAACTTTTGGTCGATGAATCGACATTCACGATGATCTGTAACAGGATTTACGGTGTTTCATTTTAACAAGACGCTATCGATAGAAACCGATTGATTGTGAGGCCGCTTTGCTGAACGGGCGGCGGGTATTGGATGCCAATGAAATGTGAGGTCGCCAAAACGTCCTAAGCCCCAGCTAATCTTTTCTGCTTAACGCTATTACGTATTAGTTGAATTAGAGCGGAGCTTGAGAACTGCTTGATGGCTGAAAATCCACTTGACCAAGGGGACCAGAGTCCAGGCGCATACATATTTATTCACGGCCAACCGAAAAAAAGAGTGAGTACTGAAAGATGACGTCGTCTTGCTGACATCAATTCCTTTCAGAGACCAGGTACTTAAGTAGCGGTTGACAGCATAGCCTACCAGGTCGAAGATATCGGACCAGCGTCACGGCCGGTCGATGACATGTTCGGGGTTGGGGCTCTTGAACCCAGGACCAAAATCATACTCTTATTCTAAGTATCTTGCTTCACCTTGCAAGTAAGTGCAACAGCCACCCAGTGATATTGTGGTTAAAGTCACTTCAATGGGGGGATCGGTGTCCAGTCGCAGGGAAAGGCCCGTAGACGCTGTGTGCAAACTGCTAACCTAGTTCAGCCGAGGGGATGGCAACATACTCGGACGCCACATCTACAAAGTCTGCATAATACGTCGTCGACTTGTAATTGTACGCTAGCATTCCAAGCTCACAGAAAGCTGAACAGAATGAATAGCAAGTCAAGCTGGTGCTCGAGATTCTGCTGCCTACATTACGTCTCTTAGATTCCAATGCAGTCCAAGGAACAGTCACAACCTTGAATACGGATTCTTAGTGTCGTACTCATGTAATTGCTAGGACTAAATACAGGAGTCTCCCACATGTATCAACCGTCTACCTACGGGAGGCTAGCGTGCGCCTCATGAAATAAGGCCGGAATGCATGTTCTGCTTTCCCCATGCTCGCTTCGTAACCGCGACGATGCAAATAAACCAAGTGTCGTTGGTGTCGTTATGCGCCATGCCTCTCCCCTAGTGGCTTGACGTTCTCGACTTGACACTGACGTGGAACCCTTTAGGCTTCACGAACCACGCATTGTGGGTCTTCCACGTTCCTTCAGGTGCAGCAGCATCGCCCTCGAGCTTGAAATCGAAGTCGCGGATGATCCTAGGGATGAGCTTTGATATTTCAAGGATTGAAACGTTCTTGCCGATGCATGTACGCGATCCCAGTCCGAACTATAATGGTCAAATCATGTTAGAAGCCGTGCACACCAACAAGACTAAAGGTGAAGGGCAAGACAAAGTGGATAAGGTCTTACAGGCATCCAATTTCTATTCATCACGGAGAGTCTCTTCTCGTCTTCAATCAGCCAACGGCCCGGGTTGAAACTGTCAGCATCCTCTCCGAAGAAGGCCTTGTTTCTGTGCTGAATCCAGCCGTTAATTCCAACAACGGACTAAAATGAAGCATGAACGCGTCAGTGAATCATAGGTATCCCTTGATGTGCGGATTGGCCGAAGAACATGGAGAAGACATACCCCTGCAGGGAAGAAACGTCCGGCGATGGTGACACCGCCCGCGGGAACGATGCGTTCCAGAGGCAGTCCAACAGCGGGGTGGACGCGTAAAGCCTCCTTGATGACTGCTTGGAGGTAGGGCATCTTTTGGCTTTCCTTGAATGTCGGGGACTGCGAGAGCTCCCCGCGGCTGGTAAAGTCTGCAAGCTCTTCGCGTAGCTTAGCCATAGTGTCGGGGTTCTTGAGCAAGTTGTACAGAATAGCAGAGATACTGATGCCGGTGGTGTCAGACCCGGCGACCATATTGGACATACAACCGTTCAGAAGATGCCATTGTGTGAACTCGTCGGCGTTGCTGGAGTGCTTGGCCAGGAACTTGGTCAGGAACGCTTCCCCAACGGCCACGCTGTCTTCGGCACTCTTGACGTCGAGGACCGGCTTTGGGGACGCTTTCTCTTCCTCGATGGTTTTCGCCGTAAAGCTCAAGATGTATAGCAACTTGGCTCCCATACTCAGATTCGGAACGAGCTTGTTTAGTATTGGTGTGATGTAAGTGTGCACGAACGGAAAGATACCAGCTAAGCTCATGTAGACTAAGCTCTGGTTGAGGTTGTCAATGACGTGAGCAACGTCTTCGCCGCGGTCCAGGAACCCAAGACGTTTTCCGTAGGTCATTAGCGCAATAGTGTCGAAAGCGTAGCATTGGAACCAATGCCCAATGTCTATCGTCGCCCCAGCCTTAGAGAACTCGGAAAGCCGCTGCGCAAACAAGGCGCCGCACTCGTCTACGTACGGCTCATAGCTAATCAGGGATGTCATAGAGTATGCGTTCGTGTAGAACCGTCTGTTACGTGCATGACGCTTTGCCGATCGCTCCGAGAAGAGATTCCATAGGTCTTCGTTAGGTTGGAACGAAATATACCACTCCGACTTTTGAAACTCTGTGCCGTGGCCATAGACCGTTTTGAGGGCTTCCGCATCGTTAATGCTGTATCGGTTCGGGCCATAGCGGACGATCGGGCCTGGAGAGAAACAGGAAGTGTAAGTAGCCATGGTGCTGGCAGCTGCTTGATGCTCCTACCGTATTGTTCGTGTAGCTTCTGATTGATCTTCTCAAAACCTCCTTGTTTGAGGCGATGGAAATACCAAAAGTCGGTGAAGCGAGCCAGCGAGGGGCCGGGTACTGATCGCAAGGGGGAGCGAGTCCGCCGAACAAGGGAATAAAGAATCTGTGCCAGCAGCGCAAAAGCTGCGACGGCCAGTACGAGTTGGGCGCCCATTGTAAAGATATATGATGAACACAAAGATGAAGCTCCCAACGCTGGTTGACAGAGCACCACAATCTGTCCAACTGGTGACTTTGAGGCTTTCCTAAAAAAGGGAAGGATACCAGCTACAGATATTTATGCCGGGCATACCGGATCCGTATTTTGGGGTGAACATGCATCATCACCGCTTATTAAAGTCGACATGTACGCAATCAGCCCGCAGCCCATCTTAGAGTTAGATCTGTAAAGGCATACGGCTTACAACTGTAATTGGTGCATCACTTGAAACGAGTCATAGACGATGCTGGATTATGGAGACGTCTCGGCACCGAAGCCATGTTCAAGTATGGAACATCTGTAGCCTTGGACGGTACCCGCTATGCATGGATGTGGATCAAAAAGACTATACTTCAAGTGGAATCGTGAATCTGAACACCTACTGTAGGAAAGCTGCCATCCAAAGATTTGGGGGTTCTTGGCATTAAACCAGGAACCATTTGTCTCTGCCGCTGTGTTAGGGTGTTTCGGCGAAGCGACAGGACCCGGATTTCAAAGTTGTCCGAAACCGACATGCGCCCCGCAACATGACATGCCAGATAGCGTACGGCGGGCCGGGAAGCGAAAGGCGGCAAGCTCAGCTATGGAGTAGGTCGGAGTTTGTCGTCGCCGTTGACCGTGGATCATCACGGTCGGTGTACGGCAAATTTTCAAGGATACGAAATGGTGGATTCATTATGATGTTAGTGGTTTATGCCATTCGTACTGATTCTCAACTCGTGGCTATGCGGGGAAACTCCGCAAAACTCTCTGCCCCTGTTTTCGATCGGGTGGGACGGTGATAGCCTCGGGTAGGAGGCTACTAAGCGAGGACCTCGTACTCGCTCATCAGATCGATCACCTTGTCGATCCTCCGACAAATCATCACCTCCCCACAGGTAGTCGTGGCGATTGCAGTTTCCTGCCAGGACTACGTCCGCCCCTTCCCCTTTCCACCTCGGACACTCGTGATGGCCTGCTTTAACACGCCTGTCGAAGCATCTCCGGTCTCTCCGCCGGCACATACACCGACGCCACCAGCAGTCTTCGATCCGTCAGTCGGACAACGGCCGCCGTGATGTCCGGTGACGCTACGGGCACCTGTTCCGCCTCTACGTCTCTGTTTACCACAGCATTGACACAGGCGTGATTCTGCCTGGTAAATATTAGTCAGGACGCGCGCGCATCAGTCTTTTGAGACCTCCACCGCGCGCCCGATTACACATGTAAGAACAGCCGCGCGCAACACCTCTTGATCGTGCGCTATTTTCAATTCTACTGACGGATCTCGGGAAGGGCAAAGAGCGCATCTATCAGTGGCATACTCATTCGACCTGGGCAACGATCAAGATTCAGCCTTTTCACTTGCGTCTATATATAGTTCCTCCCGACATCATATGTGTGCGTCGATTGGCATCTTTGGCACCTCGTTCTTACTACTTTCCAAAACGACTACTTCGTACATACTAGTCCCTGAGACATCATGACCATCTCCTCTGATTCAATTGCACCTCTTATCGCCGTTGTCGGCTCAACGGGCCTACAAGGCGGCAGTGTCATCAACAACCTAGCGCTATCGGACAAGCCGTACCGTATTCGCGGTCTCACTAGAGATGCGAAGAAAAACAAGGCTCAGGCTCTTGCGAAGCGGGATGTCGAGGTTTGGACCGTTGACCTGTCTGCCGACAATGCCGAAGGAATCCAACAGTCATTCCAGGGTGCAACCTATGTCTTTGTAAGGCCACTTCTTCTCGGGTCGCTGCTGTATTCTGATGCGTCGAACGCGTGCTGATTGCCAAGCCTGAAGATCATGACCAACTTCTGGGAGCACGTCGACAAAGCCCGTGAGATAGCCGAGGGCAAAGCCTTGGTCGAGGCAGCCCACAAGGTCGGAGTGAAACTGCTCCTAGTCTCCTCCGAACCCAACGCTACCAACGTGACAAACGGAAAGCTTACAAAGGTTTATCATTTCGACTCGAAGGCGGAATCTCCGACCATGCGCGAGCCTTGGGTGTGCCCTTCGTCGACATCCACGCCGCTGGGTACATGAACAACTTCACTACGTTCAGCCGCCCCAGACCTGCTGGAGACGGTTCTCATATTGTCGATGGCACCTGGCCTGAGGACTTTCGGATGCCGCTCCTCGACACCTACCACGATTTTGGTTTGTTTGTCCAGCTGGCTATCGAGTCGGATGAATTCAACAGGGGAGATGGCAAAACCATCTGGGCCTGTGGGGATCAGGTCACTGTTCCCGATCAAGTGAAGAACATCTCCACAGTCACGGGCAAAAAGATTGCGTACAACAAGGTTACGGAGGAGCAAAGCAGGGCAGGTATGGTGCAGGCTGGCCTCCCTCCTTTTGTTGTCGATGACATGATCGAAATGTTCAAATTTCATGAGGTCTGGAACTCCGCCTACGCGGCCGGTAGTCACGTCGAGCCTGCCAAGCTGGCACGTCGACCGCGCACTTTCAAGGAATATGTTGAGAATGAGGACTGGAGTGCCGTATTCGAGTGAAGCTACTTGCCCCAACGGGTAGGGAAGTCAGGACATTAGTATAGAGTCGAAAGTACCTAAGCGTCCAGTAGTAGCGGTCGGCTTAGTTGCCAAGTCTCGGCAGCGGTATATGCCGACTAGTCGAGGCCGCAACTCTAGTCGGTCGTGAACAGCTTCGGTTTAACAATATGGATGTAACCGAACATATAACAAAAGGCATTCTCAGAGCTCAGCCAGCCGACCATGTCCATGTCGTGTAAATTTCGAAGTGCACATGCAGGCTGGCCGGCGAACAGCTGAGCTTCCACGTCGGTCATGCAGCGGCCCAGAGAAGCTTAGCAGCTTGATAACGGGCTCAAGAGACGGAGGAGGTCGAGAAATTTGTACAGCAACCTCACAACATCAGAGACAGAGGGTAGGAAGTGGGGATCCTTCGATAGGCGCGAAAGTTAAGAGGCTCAAATGATCATATTCTTCGTATCTTCAGCTCAATATTCTACTCGCCATAGGCAAACAGAGACATGGGGATTCGCTATTCAATTTCGCAGTCTCATGTTCACATTGTCTCACCCAGCCCAAACCCAATCTTCTTGCCTCATCCACCGTCCAAGAACACCTCAACTCAATGTATCATCCCAGATTTGGGGATGCAGTTCCAAACAAGGGTTGACAGAAAGGTAAGCAGCATTACATACGCCTCGGCTCCGGGTGTCAGGCCGCACCAAGGCGTCCATTAGTCTCATGACTTGGTGCGCTCCTCGATCTGCGCCGCCTGGATGTTCGCCTCAAGCTTCTCGTCGGTGATGCTTGGAGACCTGGCGCGTCCAGCCGTGACGACGTCGCGGCCACGCATCTGCGCCCACACGGTCTTGTGCGTGGGCTGCATGAAGAGGGCGTCCATGTCTTCGAGGGTAAGGCCTGTGGTATCTGGTGTCAGTGACAAAGCAACAGCGAAGGAATGTGAGAACAAGTGAGAGAAGGAGGGAAAACGCACCCTTGGTCTCCGGGACGAAGAAGAAGGCCCAGATGCCCATGAGCATGAGGATGCTGCTGAAGAAGAAGTAGGCGCCGTAGCCCAAGTCCGAGATCATGTATGGCGTGGAGCGCGCGATGATGAAGGAACCGAGCCAGGTTGTGGCGGTAGTGATTGAGACTGCAAGCATCCTGATCTCCAGAGTTTGCACTTCCGAGGCGTAAAGCCAGGTGATACCTTGCCAGGTGGCGCAGATAATGACACCTGTGAGATGCGTTAGCGAACTCAAGGGACAAGACGCGGAATGCGCAAAGTCTTACCGTTGATGTACACGCAAACCATGGCCAAATATGACCAGCCATCCCGGATGATAACTCCAGCAGCTGCTCTAGCGGCAGGATCCGCGCCTGAAGAGGCAAGTCAGCTTCGTTAAAATTCAACAGAATTATTGTGAACTTACGCATGACGTAGCCACCGATGTACCACATCGGAATGCATCCAAGGGCCGAGCCCCAGATAAGACCTTTCCGTCGACCAACCCGCTCAGCAACCCAGAAAGTGAACAGGAACATGCCAAAGGTCTTCGCAATGCCGTAGAATCCGGTGGAGAAGAGCTTCGTCGAGGTTCCGGTGATACCAAGACTCTCAAAGATGCGAGGGGCGTCTGCATCGTATGCATCAGAGGATGAACTTTGAAGTAACGACTTCGAGGATACTTACAATAGGTAATAATGTTGACTCCAGTGAAACTTTGCAGGAACATAAGCGCCATTCCGAGACCCATTCTGTTGCGAATGCCCTTCTGGAACAACTTCTGGAACATCTGCTTCTTCGTCAAGCGGTTATTCGTGCGCTGCTCAACCTGCGTGCGGATGTCATTCATCTCGCGTCGGATGTACTCGTGGTCCGCAGGCAAGCCCCTCAGCTTCACCAGAATCCTCTCCGCAGCGTCAAAATGGTCACCTCTCGCCAGCCAGCGCGGGGACTCGGGGCACCAGATCATGCCGAGCGCGAGCCCCAGCCCGGGGACGAGCTGAAGGCCCAGCGGAACGACCCACTGTGCGTGATTATGAACGTTGATGGTGCGGTCGGTGGCGTAGTTGATCCAGAAGCCAAGCATGCCGCCGCCCTGGGAGGCGATCTCGAAGATGCCGACGAGGCGGCCGCGGATGGAGGGCGGCGCGGTCTCGGCGATGTAGACGGGGACGGTGAGCGAGGAGGCGCCGATGCCGAGGCCCGCGATGGCGCGGCCGGCGTAGATCATGTTGAGGGAGCCGCGGGCGGCGGTCATGAGGGTGCCGCCGAGGAGGAAGACGGTGCCGGCGAGCATGACAGTTTTGCGGCGGCCGAATTTCTCGGCGATGGGGAATGTGAGGAGGGCGCCGAAGAAGCAGCCGGCCTGGGGGTAGCGTTTAGCTTGAGGTTTTCGGGGGCAGCATGGGTATTGCTTACCTGGAAAGTTGAAACAATGTTGCCTTGGATGGTATCTCTTGCGGTGGTGCTGACCTCGTCGAGGTGGAAATCGCGTCGAAAGGAGTCCAGCGCCATGGTTCCGCCGATGACGGCCGTGTCGTATCCCACTGTAATCCGGAGTCAGTCATCCGTACCGAAGTCCGATGAGAGCTACGTGCGCGCCGTGCTTCGGGTCCGACTAATCCACTTCTGCCAGCCTGGCTCCCGAAACGCCGCGGCGCGGGCCGGTCTCAAGCCTCAAACCTTATCTCAGGCAAGAGGCTCAGGTTCGAAGTGTTCTAGAATACCGCGACGCAGGTTGTCCGCAACCTCAAAGAAAAAGAAAATCAATGACATACTGGCTAGGGCCGACATGCTGGCAACCAGCGCAATCAGGTGGATGCGCCAATTGCGCACCTCGGGGGGATCAAGCGTCCCTGCCGCGTGGGTGCTGAAGAAGCCCATGTTGGGCGATTGAGGCGCAAGTGGCGCGGAAGCGGCGCGAGAACAGCTGGTTTCGTGGGTCTCGTTTTGCAGCAGAAGTACGTAAGGAAGAGAAGACTCGGTAAGCCCCCAGAGACGTGGAACGTGGTTGCGTAACTGAACACGAAAGGGACCCGAACCCACGGACGGCGGGGTGGAGGGGACGCAAGCTTTATCTATGCCAACTGCGACGTGCCCACCCAAAATAAGCTTGAAGTGCGCTCCGTCGAATGAAAGGACATGTTTTGCGACATTGTTGTGGAATGATCAGGATCAGCGTCGTCTACCCCGCGATGACCCCCATGGGGAAAAACTGGGTGCATGGCCTGTCGTTAAAACCTGCCGTTGGTAGGGCAGAGGACATCCACCCAAATTGGGCGCGCTGCAGCTGCTGGCAAGCAACAGGGGAGAAATGGAGAGAAGAATGAGAAGAGAGGTGCTTCCAACCAAACAATCATGTTGGCAATTAGACCCCCGCACAGTTGGGTTGGCAGACACACACCTCCGCAGACTTGGCGTCAGCAGATGTGTGGATCAGCCAAGAAGAACACCGAGGAAGACGAGAGGGGGGGGGAGGGAGAGAAGCAGACATCCGTTTTATTTCGTCTAAATTCATCTTTTACCTTTTGAGCCGAGCCATATCCAATTTGTGGAGGCTTGCACCGCGCCACAATGTTGAAATGATCTATTCATAGTTTGAGAATTGAATACCTAAAAAACATCGTAGTGCTGTTTTTGATAATCAGGCAACTTTTGATCCAGCGAAAATATTGTCGAGAACCCCAACGGCCTGCAGAACTTCGTCTGAATTCACTAGAGAGCAGGGGGGCCTACAAAATAGAGTTCGACGAGACAGAAGGTTATTTTCACGTCCCGAAGCGCGGACTCGCTTGGGCCTCGTGGACGTTATCTCCACGGACACTGCACCATGCACCATTATTCGCCGCTGTCAACAGATGAAGCGCCAAGTCACGGTTCCGTAACATCTGGGACTGCACAGCCCCATTTTACGAATTTTGCAGAAGACCTGACCAGAAACCCGAGAGCGATCGCTCATGAAGTTTTGAAGGCGATTCGCACGGATGGTGGCGGGGGAGCCAAGACCGAGATCTCTCACAAAACATACGTTGAGGTGTCAGTGAGAAGCAATATTTTACGAGGAAATGAAGAACATATCCGCGGAAATGCAGAGGTCTCGCACTGAGAGAAAATGTTTAGTCATCGATTCTGGCGGCGTCGAGAAATATGTCGCAAAAGTAGAACCCGCTCGTTGTCTTCTGCATGGGACGGAGACCAGATATATGTCCTGTCGTTGGGCTTCACTCCAGTTCGTGGATCGTGGGATGCAGGCTGATGGCAGCGCTAAACCATGATAGAACGCCGAGACGAAAAGCGCCGGAGGAACTCGGGGACTTCAGACGTCGGGCGCAACGCTCAACTTAAGATTTCCAACGCTCGGATCTCAAATCTGAGGTGATTCCCGAGCGTGACCTTCACGGGCGTCCGGGCCCAAGGATTCGGGAGACAGCTTTCGGGGGAGGTAGATGGTGACAAGAGGTGGTCGGTTCTCGGTTCTGGGTCGACGTTGGATGAAGGCGTGCGGGCGCGACAGCAGGGCCGTGGGCGGAAGCCGGGGTTGGCCAGCGCCGGGGGCATGCATCCCCCGGGGCCTGGATCCGTCCCGCCCCAACCTCCCTCCTCGGTAGTCAAGTTTGACTTCCGAGACCACGCGACGCCGCTGCGCTGTCAAGAACGCGGCTCTCCACAATTTCCTATCATAAATCCCGAACACCTCGGCGGAGGATTCCAAAGCTGGTGATGGCGCTGTCTTGGTGTTCTCTTGGCTGCTTGTCCATCTCGTTCAGATCTGGCTTGCGGCGGGCATGCAGGGCTTTTTGAACCTCCTCGCTAACCGCCATGATGGATTCAAGCTTCCTGTTGCACCAATCAATAACACCGTGACCCCAGGTTCTTTTGGCTTCCTTACCCCGGAACTACAATCACTTGACATGTCGTCTGGCGAATTGTGACCTTGACTGGCGGTTCTTATGTTGCATCGGTTATTCCTGCCAGACTGTCGGATGCCATCAGTTAAATGTGTTTCCTTCTTGATTTTCATTGCAGACAGTGTGCTCAGCCACCCCCGGTCTGGGGTTGGTTCCCCCTCACTTACAAGCGTGACTTGGCGACTTGGCACGGATTTGCGACGGTTCGTGGGGGCTGCTTTTCCGTTGGACCGCAGCATGTTCCTCTGCCATTTTCTCGCCGAAGATTGTGCAAAGTGGTTCAAAACAATTATTTTGTGAATCAAACAGAAAGAAGTTCTACTGTTGAGGGATAGAGTAGCCGAAGTTGCTCTAGTAGGCAGGAGCAGCTCAGAGCGTTGGAAGCAAAAACACGGCATTATTTGATCTGCTAGGGTCCACATTTCCGGAGGATCTCAGGCGGAGACGGCGGTCCGTCTCGGAAGCCAATTCTGATTTTCGGAGACCAGATGCACGCCGGATTTGTGGAGCTCGTCTCCGGACATGTCCACCGATTTGGCTCAGGGGAAGCTGCCCACCAGCACGAGTACGCCCGCACACGACTTTCTTTACTTTGATACGAATCTCAGACTCAAGAAGCCCGAAATAAAGTGGCACGGGGGGTAGAAATCAAGTTTAAAAAGCGATGTTCCCCTCAGGACCAATCAGAGTAAACCCATCTTCGGTGACCAAACCAGGATAAACAGCGACAACTTATACCACAATTGCGATTCGTTCCGGAAGGGCGTTGAATTTCCCTCACTGTGAAAAGGCTGCGAAGAGATATCATCACGCGCACCCGAGAAACGCCACTGCCGTAATCTTAGGTGCGGAGGATTGCCTTGGCGACGAAGCGACGCCCAGGGTTTGCCCAAGATGGTGTTGGACAGTTGGGGTAAGCCTCCCCTCCAACTCCCCCACGGAAGTTCACCGATGGAGTATGGTTGTTGGGAAACATGGCTACATTTTTCAGCCATACGACAAACAAATGCAGATCTCGAAGGGCTCAACTTTCGGCCACCGTAGGACAGAGTGCGGCGTCGTCTGACCGATGTTCGTCAGAGGATGCCCCTAGAACCCTCGGGATTTGTTGCCGAATTATGGCAAGCTGGCAAACATCTGCACCCCCAATCATGAGAGATGGCTGTTATCAACCCCTTCTCCATCAACGTCTTTCATGAACAATACGTTGTTCAAGATGTGGCTTGTGGCGGTGCGATGGATGACAGTCCCTGGCGAAGTTCAACAGGTTGGCATGACTAAACTGCTCCAGGGAACCTCCAGCGCGGGAGCATGCCCGCGAGTCAGTGCACACACACCGCAAACCCCAAAAAGGGCCCCCTGAAAATTTTCGCTCTCCGCAGTTCATCCCCACATCGTGGAGTCTGGTTCGGAGAGAGGGGGCGCCCACCGAAAGGGGGAACCGGCGGAAAACATCGAATGGAATGGTCCCGCCTCCATCCTCCCCCGCGCTCCTTTCCCCAGCTTTGTTGCCTTGCTTCACCCACTGAACTACCTTCCACTACCTACACTGCCTACCTACCAGACAGAATTTGACTTTGAACCAGCGCTGTGAGCACTGAGAAGAGCCCCCGGCCCGAAGGAGGCAGGACGGCATACACCTCAGTTGATCCAACGGGCTGTGGGACTGAGGAGGAAGAGGGAAAAGAGAATGTCCGCCGTCGCCGCCAACGAGGAGCCCGCCCGCGACGACCGCAATTCCAAGCATGCAGGAGACTAGCGGGCCGTCCTCGGCTCTGCCAAGTTACTCCCGACCACCGAGGAGATCAGTGAGGTCCCGGGAAGGGTGCTTGACCTGCAAGTGAGTACTCCTGTCACCACACATCTTTACTTGCGGGATCACTTGGAAACTTTCCGTTCTCCCCTTGCTAACGTCGCATCAACCAACCCCCCATAGACGCCGCAAAGTGAAATGCGATGAGTCGCGGCCCCGATGCAGCCATTGCGAGCGTTTGAATCTGGAATGCAAGTGGCGGCCGCAGTCCAACAGCACCGCCGCACACGCAACCCTGGCCGCCGCCGTCCCTGCAGGCGCCCGCAGCCCGGCCATGCGGTCCCACGCCACCGATGCCTCCGTCTCGCCCGCGGCGTCCATGTTCCAGCCCATGCAGGCCGTCGACGAGATCTTCGACTATGCCAGCTTCATGTGGGACACTGGCGATGTCTGGCAGCAGGCTCCCGAGCCGGGGCAGCAGATGAGCCTTGATGGGCAGGTTCTTGTAAGTTCACTTCACGTCTTACTCTGGATGAAGATCCCTCGACACTTAACGAAACATGCCACTGAACCATTACAGCGACCCCAATATGCTGCCCAGCCAGTCATCGGCAGACCAACGGCGCTCATGAGCAGCCCTCCCGATCTCACCTTCCCGGACCGGACAACCATGGACGACCTCCCAGACCCGTCGCCCATCCCCGACGCCAGCAGCCAGTCGGAGCAGCAGGCCATGGCCCTGCAGGTCCCGACTGAGGATGATAGGCTCATGGACTACTTCAGCCGTGTCGTGGTCCCGCCCATCCTCGCCGAGGTCGAGACCCAGAAGAAGTGGCTCGCCATCCGCCAGGTCGTCGTCGACATGGCCGGCGCCTCGCAGATGGTCAAGTGGGCCGTCCTCGCCTTCTCCAACCTCATGCTCTCGCGCCGCGAGGGCGCCTGGCTCGCCAGTCCCGAGGACCACTACCAGAAGGCCGTCGCCGAGGTCGCCGCGTACGGGGAAGACTCGTCCCCGCGCGACGACAGCCGCAGCTCCCGCAGAGAACACTTGCTCGCGACGCTCTTCTTCCTCAGCTACGTCGACATTCTACGCGGCTCAATCAAGGCGGCGGATTCGTTCCTGAAGCGCGCGTACGGGCTCTTCCAGCAGGGCGAGAAGAGCAGCTTTGCAGCTATCGAGAAGCAGTTCCTGCAGTGGATGCGCCTCCTCGACGCGCGCGCCGTTTCAGCTGGCGGCCAAGGTCTCCTCTTGTCCAAGGATGACGAGCTCTTGCTGGTGGAGGCATCGCCGGCCAGCTTCGACGGCGGCGTCGCCGACTCGTCCAAAGAAGACCTAGCCGAGGGCGACATCGAAGACGTCCTCTTCCAGGTGATGTACCAGCCCGGCATCGTCTTCTTCCAGAAGGTGCAGAGCTTCATGGGCCGCATATCCAAGATCGACCCGTGGCACCGCTCGCGTGGCACCGTCGAGGACGAGACGGAGGTCATGAACATCGGCGCCGCCATCGCCGCGGACCTGCGCACGCTCTACGAGCAGCGGCCGCCGCTGATGGACTACGCGGTGGCCGGCAAACTCACGGAGCCGCATGTCTCCGCGCACCTCGCCTTCGTGATCACGCGCGCGTTCCGGACGTACCTCGCCAACTACCACGCCAGCAAGGTGCACCTGCACCGGGTGGCGTACAAGACGTTCCCCCTCACCAAGGAGGCGCAGGAGGCGCTGAGCCAGATCCGGCGGCTGGCGCGGCTGCTGGTGGACTCGCTGGACGCGGACAACTCGCTGCCGGTGAACATGCTGTGGCCGTTGCTGATGCTGGGCTCCGAGGAGCAGGACCCGGCGGAGAGGCTGTGGATCAAGACGCAGATCCTGCGGATGGAGAAGGTGGCCGGGAATGCCAAGATCACGGCGCAGGTGCTGGAAGAGGTGCAGGCCAGGCAGGACAGCGAGAAGGTGCGGGTTGATATTCGGTCGGTGATGCACGCCATTTTTAACTCTTGCTTCGCGATCGTTTGAGGGGGAGTTCACCTATGGAATCGGCCCTTTTACGGCGAAATGGAGGAGATCATTGCGCACTGCGAGATAAAGGAATGGGAGCACGCAACATGAGCCCAGCCGAGGTGGACATTAGCTATCTTCTGTTAGATACCCAGTATGCTGTTTCTACGTATGTATTGTTTGTTTTGATCACTGCATCTGTCTGTATTCTCTCGATCGACTTCCCTAAGTCCTTTCCCAGACACGCGTCAGATACGATTCCTGGTGTTCTTCCGCCTCGCCACGTCGGTACCGTCGTTGTGATTCCGTCGGACGCTAGCCCAGGTACCCGACGCGATGCCGATCGGAAGATCCACTCCGGCCCCGCGACGGATCCACTCCCTCGGGTACTCTGCTCAGTGGCCGTGCCCAGGCGGCATCCGACACCGGGCATGAATTGGACGGTCTCAAACTTGTCCGGGCAGATGACCGATGGTAGCCAGGGTCTTCGAAATGGCGGAGTAGTTCTCACGCCATGTTGTGGCCCCAGACCAACTTCTGCCGCCTCCACGCTCCACGCGACCCTCGCTCAATTCGATCGGGTCATGCCCGTGGGGAAAAACGAATTGTCGGCTTGTCGGAAAGTCGTCCACTTTTTCGAGAGCCCCGCGATGGTGACACGAAGGCGCGCGGGGTTGGAGGGGTCAAAGGCCCCCGAGCAACGGAGCTTGACGCGTACTTGTATCGAGCATCTCCAGCCAAATCTGTAAAAACTTCTTCTCCTCTTCTAACGATCCTGCAAATTCCGTTTCTTTTTCGGCCAAGTTTTAATTCTTTCCCCATCATCTCCACCCTTGCTCGTCCACCCAATCTTCCACAATGGCCGCCAAGTCCTTCCCCCCCGGCATCCACGTCCCCAGCTTGACCTGGTTCGCCGACGACTCCAACCAGGAGATCGACTGGGCCGTCCAGACCAAGCACCTTGAGTTCCTCGTCAAGTCTGGCCTTCACGGCGGTAAGTCACCTCATCCCCCATTTCGCCATGGAGCCACACCGCTAACAATCCCCCAGTCGTCCTGGCCGGCACCAACGGCGAGGCCGTCACCCTGACCGCCGACGAAAAGACCGCCCTCGTCCAGAAGACGCGCGAAATCGCCGTCGCCGCCGGCCGCCCCGACCTCACCATCACCCTCGGCTGCGGCGGCCAGTCCACGCGCGCCGTCATCGCCGAGACGCACCTCGCCAAGGCCGCCGGCGCCGACTACGCCCTCGTCCTCGTCCCCTCCTACTTCCACTTCGCCATGAACGAGGCCGCCATCGTCGGCTTCTTCGAGGAGCTCGCCGCCGCGTCCCCCGTGCCCATCATCATCTACAACTTCCCGGGCGTCGCCGCCGGCCTCGACGTCAACTCGGACATGCTCTCCCGCCTCGGCAAGCACCCCAACATCGTCGGCGTCAAGCTCACCTGCGGCGGCATCGCCAAGGTCGCGCGCGTGCGCGCCGAGTTCGACCCGAGCGAGTTCTTCGCGCTCGCCGGCCAGAGCGACTGGCTCGTCCCCGCGATGGCCGTCGGCAGCACGGGCACGATCACCGGTGTCGCGAACCTGTACCCCAAGTACTGCATCGAGATCTTCGATCTGTACAACGCGGGCAAGATTCAGGAGGCGACCGCGGCGCAGTTGAAGCTTGCGCAGATGGAGTGGGCGTTTGGCAAGGGCGGGATTAATGGTACTAAGTGGGTTGTGGCCAAGTCGCTGGGCTACCCGCTTGCGAGCTGCCATTGCAGACGGCCGTACCCGCAGTACACCGACGCGGAGAAGCAGGCGTGGATCGCGGATCTGGTTGCGCCGTTGGCGGAGGAGGAGGCTAAGATCAACGCTCGTGCTTGAGTTGTGTGTGGAGGAAAAAACAAAACATAATGGCATGAAATGGCGTTTTTTTGGGATATTGTCGTTAGACTTACGGCAAAGAGATAATGAATAGACGCTGCTATGAGACAATGTGCTTGGTTTCTTAAACTTCTAGGATTGCCTTCGGTTCTTATTGGGACTAAGTTCTCTGAGTGTGGCCTTACCGGAGGGAACTGACTGATTCTCCATTTATTGGTTATCAAGCCGTTGACGTCGTCTAACTTGAGCTGTCTCATTTCTTGCGGTGAAATATCGTTCCGTATCAACGTTGGATGAGATTGAGATTTGATGATGCATCAAGCATCCAGCGCCAATGCCTCTTTTCGTGATAGTGACTTGGATATGAAGTGCACATCATCGGACGTTGGGCTTGATTGTGATGCCAGGGAAATATGATGAGGCCAATGCGACCATGATTTTGGCTCGCACACAGCTATGCACAGCAAGCAAGACAGCAAGCAAGAACTGCCTCAATTCTTATCACGAAACGTCGGATCGAATACTTCGTGATGTAATTTATTTCATCATGGTGGTATCTCATTATTAACTACACTTTCCTCCCATCATTGTTTGGGCCTCATTTCCGACCATGAACTGACGTTGCAAATCCTAATCATTCAACAAACATCTACACATCTTCGGTGTGCTCACTTCGCTTCGCCTTGTCGATATCGTCGAAAGCAGTGTCGACGACTTTGGTCGATGGTTCCGGACGGGTGTCGTGTGCGTAGCCACTGCGGGGAAAGGAGTCAGTAAAAACGGGCTGGCTTTAGAGGGGAAAGAATAAACGTACAAGATGACATCCATCTGGTCCATGGTGAGACCCTTGGTCTCAGGCAGGAAGAAGAAGGCCCACAAGGTCGCCACAATCATCCACGCGGCGAAGAAGAACCACGTCGCGTAGCCGAACGAGCTGAAGATGTACGGAAGCGCCTTCGTGATAGCAAACTGCGTAGCCCAGACGACGAGGGCGGCATACGTTCCGGTGAAGTTGCGCAGCGCACCGGGGAAGATCTCAGCTGAGACGATCCATGGAATACCGTTGAGCCCGAACGACCAGCAAATGGAGTAGATCATGATCATGCCTGTGGCGGCCCTGCCGCCCGCCGCAGTCGACGCGGAGAGCTCCTTGCCGGCGGCGATGATGTCGGCCGGGTGGCCGATCTTGACGTAGGCGCCGACGACCCAGAGGCATAGGGAGCAGACGAAGGACGAGATGATGGCGGGCCAGCGGCGGCCGAGCAGGTCGATGAGGAAGATGAAGTAGATGATGGAGGCGATGGCCTTGATGAGGCCGTAGATGCCGGTGTAGAGCGCAACGTCGGTGATGCCGATAGATGCGAAGAGGGTTGGGGAGTAGTAATTGATGGCGGCGGCACCGGAGAGGTTGTTGAGGGCGAAGGCGCAGAAGACGAGGACGAGGCGGTTCCACATGCCCTTGCGGCAGAGCGTGCTGGCGACGCCGCGGAAGTAGGCCCACTGGCCGGTGCCGTAGGCGCTGGCGACGGCGGCTTCTTCATCCATCTTCTTTTGGAGCATGTCGACCTCTTCTTGCATGTCTGTGCATCGACTCAGTCAGCAATTGGTTCGGGATCTGGGATAAAGGGACTTACACTTGTGATCGATGGGAAGATGTCTGATCGACTCGAGAACCTTGTGCGCCTGCTCAGTCTTGCCCTTGCGCATCAACCAGAGGGGACTCTCGTGGATGAAGAAGCAGCCGATGAAGAGGATACCGGAAGGTACAAGCTGGAAAGCCATCGGGATTCTCCAACTGGTCGCTGAGTTGGGGTTGATGTTCTGAGTGATGCCGTAGTTGATCCAGAAGCCGATGACGGAACCGACCTGGTAGGCAACTTCGAAGAGACCGGTGAGGATGCCGCGGATCGAGGGGATCGAGAGTTCACCGATGTAGGAGGGGACGGTGGCCGTGATGCCACCGCATCCGATTCCCGTCAGCGCGCGACCCGCATCTGAACTCATAATGTTAGTCATTGTTAAAAGAGAACGGGTGTAAGTATCAACGTACAGATGTAAGACAGCTGATTTGTCGCGGCAACCATGAGAATGGCGCCGACGAGGAAGATGACAACATTGGCCTGCAGGGTCCATTTTCTGCCCAGACGCTCAGTGACTGGGACATGTTAGCTCTTGTCTGTTTGGCTAGAAGGAGGTCATCATACTGAAGAAGCAAAGCAACGCGCCGCCGAGAGCACCAGCCTGGAACGCCGAGGTGATGTTACTCGAGATGTTGTTGGAGTTCTCCGAGGTGATTCCAAAGTCTCTCTTGAAACCAGTTCGTGCGATCGTGGTTCCGATGAAAGCGGAGTCGTAGCCGAATCTGATGAACGTTAGTTATGCTGACCTTGGGACAAAGCCTCGACATATCATACAGCAAAGATCCGGTTGCGATGATGGAAGCCTCAATGTAGAGACGCCAGTTGTAGACCTCCTTCGGCGTCGGCCGATCCTCGACAGCCTTGAAACCACCCATGATTGCGTTGCTGCGGTGCGAAGAGGTGGTCGTAGCGGGTGTGAGATTTGTCAAAGACGTTGGGAGCCCTCCGATTGATTATCTAGACATCGACACGCACGGGGATCACACTTTTTCCAAGGGGGCAGTTTGGCTGTCAAAGAGTATTTATCCTGCCCTCCGTCCGACGTAACCAGTCGGATCCCATCCCCACGGGGTACTCGGGTGGAGAAAACATGGAGGACTTTGGAGTTGTCTCCCAGGTCGCGTCGGACGGCGCCAACGATAATTTGGGGGTGGGTTTGACTCGCGTCGGTGGCCGCTGTGACCAACTGACAGCCCAGAATCCCAGGGACCGGCCTTCGGAAGTCGTCCGTCGACGATGCCACGAACGGGTTTTTGCAGCCGATTAAGTGGGTCTTCGCCTGGAGCTAAGGTCTGGCACAAAGCGGTCTTGGGCCGAGGTAGTCATTGTTAGTGCTGACTCTTAATTCTGCGCAACACCTTTATTGGGAACTACAACTTGATGAAAGGGATTTCAGCCACGATCAATGTCAGGTGATTGCGCTGATGGTTCCCGACATTCGATCATGTTATGCGCGGCCCCACTGCGCTGGACTGACGATGATTCCACGGGCGTAACGGCGCTTCCGACATGCGACCCGACGCGACCCGACGCGAACTGCCGGCAAGGCATCTCCACTTCGCACGTGGGAAAGGCGAACCGCATCCTCGGGTTTGAGGAGATGCAATCAAGAATTGGCCAAGACACGTGAGATGAACTGATGACGTTTGCTGGGAACAACATGATTTCGATGTCATTCGTGTATTTGAATATCGTTGCTGGGTAAGCACAGGTTTCCCATAGTGTATGCCTTTGAAAAGACAACAACTATTGAATCGCTCAAGGGGCAGATGTTCGAATTACGCGCTAATCAATAGGAAGAGCCAAAAAAATTCAGAAGCAATGAGTGTGGCTGAACCGGGCTGGGTGGCTGAGTTTAGCTTGAGTGCATTTGAAACATGTGGCTTGAGCCTCGCCTCCCAGCAAAACGTCTTAACCTTGCCAGTTCCTGTATATAAGATGCCTCATGAATACCTCTTCACAGAGTTCCCAGGTTGTGTAACTCACGCGAAACTATCGAAATACAAGCCGTGCGATATAGGCCTCCAGAAACCATGTCTTCGCGTATTCTTGGCCTACTTGTTTCTGTTCAATATTCGGGTTGCTGTTCAACCACCTCTAACTCCTGAATAGCTCTCAACGAGGTCACCGCTTAGTGTCCAAGCTGCGTGTAGCACTCCTGGACTACAGTATTTTATATCATTAAATGACATCTCTGAAGAAATTCATGGTTTCGTTGTTTTCGTGATGAAACCCTCAACCTATGAATTGGCTCCGAGCTTGATAATGAAGTTTCTAATAAGAAGCACTTCGAGCGCATATCAAACTTCCAGAATGTCTTTTCATTGGTCTATAATGACGCGTAGTATCCCACTTTGCTGCATTCCATCGAGAAAGCGAGCCAATCAACCAATGACACGCTCGTTCGCCAAGTGCTTATTGCATCTTCATTAAACTGATCAGGCTGGCACGCCTTAAATCCTAACTCAACTCGTGAACTACATCCTGTCCACCAGCCTCTCGTCAGCTCACCAAATGAGATGGATATTGTTACTCGAGAATCCTCCGTCTCCTTCGGCGAAACTACCGCCACGACCAATGACGACGTACCCGATACGTGGGCTGAAAGATATCTCGCAGCTGATGGCGATGATGTCGGAGCCGATTCAGATCTTGTTCAAGAGGTTGAGAAGGATGAGATCGACCATCAGAGAATCAAAATCGAGATACAGAGGCTCGCACATGCGACGACCATCGTGGACGGATTTTGCGGCAAGTGTCGAGATCTGTTGCAACACTGGCCAGACCTATCGATCGGAGAGTGGACTCTGATGCAAGGACGCTCCTTCAGTAGCGTTTGCGAGATCGAAGCGGCAGCCAGTACTGGATGCAAACTGTGTGCCCTTATACATTGGAGATTAGTTCATGCGGGACTATTACTTACCTTTCGAAGGATCGAATTGCGGCTCAGAGCATTCGGTCACAATGGCTTCATGTCCTTGGCCATTCAGAACTGGGGTGAGGGGCCATTCAAACCACATATTGTATGGTTGAACTTTCCAGGGAAGGAGGCTACTCACTGCAATAATCCTGGCGCTCAGCCTATTAACTTCTACTCTGATTTGACGCAACCATCATGTAAGCACACAATATCGCCTTACTCGAGAATCCATTGATTCGTGCTTGGGCTAATAGATAAAGATTCGTCCTGGCAAGAAAACCGTGACGCATACGACCTTGCTAGAATGTGGCTACGTGAATGTGATGCCTCTCACAGAATCTGTCTCAATCAAAAAGAGTATGAATGCCCTGCAAGGCTACTCTTTTTTGACTGCGATTATGTCAGAGTGGTGCACACTGAAGCCCTCAACACCATGCCGCAATACGCTACACTGAGCTATTGCTGGGGTCTCAGGCCATTTTTGAGCCTGACTCAAAATACGATGAGGTCGTTTCTGGAAGGTATTTCTGTCAGCGATCTGCCACAAACGTTCCGAGATGCTATTCATGTGGCGAAGCAACTAGGACTTTCGTACATCTGGATTGACGCTCTTTGCATAATCCAACATGATCCCGAAGATTGGTCCATTGAATCCAGCCGCATGAGATCTGTCTACGGCAATAGCTATGTCAACCTCGCCGCATCCTCCGCGACCAACGTTGACGAGGGCTTCTTCTCGAAAACAGAGCGCTACAAGTACTACAGTGGGGGACTCTATGCTCGAGTGAGCTCAAACAAATTTAGCGCAGTCCGCAATTTCTATGGTGATACCGTGTATGATGAAAATTTCACGTACACGCAATTGGCCACTCGAGCCTGGACTCTACAGGAGAGGCTTCTTCCCGCCCGCACAATTTACTTTGGCAATACTGGTATTTTCTGGGAATGCAGGTCCGGCTTCCGATCAGAATTCCTTCCGCCTGGGATTAGAGGTCTAGCCAGATCACACCTCGTCTGTCCGGAAGACCGAGCTTGGAGGTGGCGTGACATTGTCTCTCAGTATTCTCGCGCTCAACTTACAGATCCTGAGGATCACTTACCAGCTTTGGCCGGTATCGCAAGACGTCAACACGAGGTCACTGGCCAACAATACCTCGCAGGCATGTGGAGAGAGTCTCTTGTCACCGAACTTGTGTGGGCGGTTATTGGACGTCGGAGAAGGCCAGCTTGGAGAGCTCCCTCTTGGTCGTGGATATCCGTCGATAGCCCAATATTGGCATGGGGATGGGACATCGACTTCAAGGATCATCGCGTCAACATGAAACAATACATCAGCATAACCGATGCATGGACTACGCTCTCTAGCCCGGATTATTTCGGCAAAGTGAGCGACGGCTTGCTTTCGCTAGCGTGCTCCGTTCTTGTGCAAGCCCGCCTTCTTGGGGCTGCCAAATTCGAGGAAATATCCGACGAAGACGAGACCCATCACTACCAATATGTCGGAGTCAATGGAGCGAAAGAAAGATTCTCTGTCTTTATAGACGCATTGAGCGACGAGGGGGACTGCGATGAGGTCTACTTGCTCCCGATCTACGGTGGATCATGGGGTTCCAGGCGGGCACGGACGCGAGCGCAGAGCGATGGAGAACCAAACGACGATATGAAGGAGCACGAATTCGATGAGGCAAACGCATCGGATGACCCGGAAGAAGAATGGGAAGATCAAATGACGATCTGTGGTCTTGTTCTACGAGCCTGTGGTCAAAACACTGGTGATGGGGGTCGTTTTTGTCGTCTTGGATCATTCAACCTGAGAAATTTCGACTTGTACCCAAATGTTGATGAAGACCCGGAGAGAGACTACTATGAGGAGTTCGTTCAAGCGTTAGATGGAAGAGGACATGAACTAGCTGATACTAAACGTCCAACTGAACCAATGGACAACGGTTATGTTCAGCGAAACTTGAATATCACAGTTGAGTAAGGGAGTAGTAGTAGTAGTCATAATGTTCCATAGGGCGACGTCAGAGAAGAGGTTTACGATTTCTCCCCTGAGAATCTGTGGTGCAGTCGAAACTCAGATGAAACACACTGTTGCCGCTTTTGAAATTGGACGTCTTCAACTTGCCTCTCGTCCACACCGGAAGGTCTTTGCCTAGGCCCACACATCATCGACGGTCAGAGCCGATTTGGTTCGGGCCTCCCGGCTTCCAATAGCTGCCCACCACCGCTGAGCGTTATCAAAGACGTGGACACCTCATAACTATCTTACACAAAACTTCGCAAAACGGCTTTGTATTTGAGGGACACTGATAAAGGATGCTGGAGGCTTCAATGAGGCAAGAACTAAGTCTTGACGTGCTAGAACAAACTACACTTCTACTGTCAGCGGCTGAATCGTTCTATAAGGCATATTGCTGTGGTTTATCGTCGCAGAGGTTGCAAATCACAGCAATGTAAATGGGAGCAGTGAACTGCGTGTCATCGGGATCGCACCTCCCACAGAGATCAAAATGGATTCTATCGAGCTGTGAGAAGACATGGCTGTTGCCGAGCTGAGCGGAATTCTCCCTAGCGAAATGGTAGATTGAACGGGGTGGCCTGTGTCTGGCTGGTATCTCATTTATGTACATATTGCCCCGCTCGATCAATTGCTTCATGATAACTCGCCTTGTCTACTCCTAATAGCACTGTTCAAAAACGTCAGTAATGTTGCAAACTTGAGGTCTGAGAAGACACATGACTTACGCAACCCTCAAATCCGCCATCGCCGCAAGCGGAGCCTTCGTCATAGGACATTAAGCAGTCGCCTCGCCAGGTGTGACGGTCACCCCCCTCTTTCTCGCTACAACAAAAAGTGTTGCGGTCCTGATAAGAAGTTACATGTCAGTCAATTCAGATTCAATCAGTGTACACCTCGTTCTTGTCGAAACATACAGGGTACAAGGCCTTGCAGCTCAGATGGTACGCTTCCTTGCCATAGTCGGTGCACCACCACGCATTGGCGGATCCAAGCAAGAGAGAGCCGACGGAAAGAACAGCAGCGAACTTCATGTTGGCTAGGTATGTGAGCGAGCGTTGAAAAACGAAGGACTGAGCGGTTGGTTGTTACAACTGATGACGACTGCACAGGTGAGTAGTTCTTGTTGGTTTGTATATGTATGTTGTAGATCTTAACTCATGACTCAAGCATAGTGGTCTCGCTTGGATGCATTGAATAACGGGTGTCCTCTCCTGGTTAGGCCCGTAGGGGTTATGACGAGTCAGAGACCACTCACCGCAAGACTACAATTCAATGCCCGCCCCAATCAATATGGCTGAGACTCGGAGCAGATGCCCTTGAGAGATTTCCCTCAATAGCGGCATGCAGCTATTCACAAGACACGGTGATACTGTCATTATCTATTCCAAAGATCAACGGGAGACTGTAGTCTAGGCTACTCCTGGTCGTGGATAGACTTGATTCCCTTCCGGCATTCAAGACTTTCGGAACACTGAATGGTAAGATCGAAGAAGCGTCTGCTCACCAGCTGAGCCCAGCTGAGGTCCTGTCAAGCCTTGCCCAACCCTTGTTCTATCCCGGAGGAGCGCATGTCAAGACGGCAGGCAATCGGACAAACCGCAACCTTAAGAAGCGGACCGTGGTGGATGGGAAGGCATCATGATCTGCAGATCCATTCGTGTCTTTCCCTATTTACTCTTTTATAGCAACTTGCGGCTAACCGGCCCCTGATGAGTTCGTCATCCCTTACTACCACGTGCCCCTGTGGAGGACAGCTGAATCCATAAAAACACTGTGAACAAGACGTTTTCTTTCTTCTCTTTTCTGAGATTGAACTCTGGTAATTTTGCACTAGAAGCTTGTGAAGGACTTGGGTTTCTGGCGTCTTGTCGGGGGCCGATGGGATACTTTTTGCTGCTATTATTACGCCGATGTTTGATCCCCATGTCCAATAAGAGAGCTATGCCGGATCAGGAAGCTGGGGCCCACGGCACCCCACCATTTCACACCCTGGCAATACACAGCCAGCCCGGAAATAATTACAGGTGTTGCATTTAAATCATTAATCGGCCGAGAATAACGGATTACTCGTACCTCGTATCCGTAACTGCGGAAAACACGCAGTAGAGGCTTTCTTTGGGGGCTTCTGCCGCAACTGTCCGACACTAAGGTAGGTGACCACCGTTTGCGATCCGGGCTTTCAAATTTGGCTTGGGAATGGTTGTTGTTGTTCAAGTAATTGTCCTTCCAGCAGCTTCATCGACATCGAAGTGGTACTAGATGAGTATCGTGGCAGCCATGAGACACAACATGCTGTTAGCGTAAAATTTCCTGGGGCATTTCGCCCCCATGACTCCTCAAAAACGAGAATATAGGACTCGCATCCGTGATCAACATCGTTCGTCTGTTGTCACGGCCCAAATGTGGGATGAAGTGACGGTGTCCGTCCAATGCTCCGAACTCAGGTAGATCCCGGTGCATGCGGTACGCACGTCCAAGCACCATCGGGGACCGCCAGACCATCATTGAGATGGCACCTGAATTCCGATGGTTTTGCGCTGTACGTTAATAGCAGCAATTAAGTGAACGTGTGCTTTACTTTCAAAGAAAAATTTTGACAAACATGAAAACATTAATTACTAACTATCCCGCCGGACAATTAATCTACGGCAGCTTCTAGCTCTCCGCGAAGGAGGCCGACATGTCCGTAAAGTGGATCGTCCACCTACTCGTATATCGTACAGACGGCAGTCTAGAGAATAAACTTTTCGTAGAGCACACGATAAACTACAGGTGAAGAGGAAACAAACCACGAAGCGAATGAATCGACCCAAACCCTAAGGCTAGTCTCTGCTGTATGACTCTCGTGATACTCCAATTTTCCTCTTTCGGAGATGAGTCAACCACCCATTGGATGCAGTCGCGGTACAACGAGTCAGTGTATTGAGCACTCCATCTCAAAAGTGAAGTGTCACTCGGATAGCGGGGTACTGTTCGCCCGATCTCGCAGGTGATGTGATATAATGGTTGATAGATGGACTCTTCATGCGTTCATGGCGATCATGTTTTTGTTGCGGTAGAGATGCGGTGGAAGGTGTTGGGCAGATTTAAGACGCCGCATTAGACAGTAGGATTCGGCAATGGAAATACAATATCTCAATTGTGATCAAAACGTCTGGAGGAGGATAGAAGACGGTGACCTCGGAGTCAGAGAAAGCGTCAATCTTGTATTTTCAGATGAGATTTGTCAGCCCAGAGAGAATGAAGACTAGCGCCCGGTAACTCTAAACGAAGAACATACAAGTCGGCGCCTAAGAGAACACTTGACTACAGATAGCAAAAGTCTGTGTTTTGGCGCAAATTTGAACGACTGAAGGATGGATGATCAAATAGGTTCCGCCGTCATTGCTTGTCTAAAGTTCCGCAGAAGAAGTTACGAAGGATGCGATCGTAAATTCCTAAGGCCATGGTCAATGTCCCTCTGGAGTGTAAGATTAATTGCCAGCTTGAATTCAGACATGAACTGAAAGCTGATAAATAGCAGCCAACCTGACGACTTGGACTTGATCTTGTCTTCGGCCTCTAGTTGCAATCGGTTCGTGCATGTTTTACAACAAGTATATATGTCCACGACTCGACCAGTGCTCTAGCATCGCCAATGATTGGTCTTTAGCTTTCTGTTGTTGTCACATGCCAGCTAGTCATGTGCCTGTAGCCACAAAAGTTGAGGACTAGAACTCCGACGAGATCAGCCACCTCTTAGGCTCTTGCCAGGCAGGCCCCTTGCGGTCTATGTGGCTTGCATCAATAAAAGTCACTCGACGATTTTGATAAAATAGCTGTAACTAGGTTGTGTCTACGCTGGTGTTGAGCGTCTTCGAGGAAACAATGCTTTTGGGCATCTTAAGAAACCTGGAGCTAGCCTTACTCTTATGTGCTAGATCCCTCATATACAAACAAGATCGCTGAGCGTTAGGCATCCTGCCAAAGGCAACCGTCTTGGGTTGAACAGAATGACCTGTTCCTCACCCGGGGCACAACACCCGATCAGTTCCTGACACAAGCGGACTTTGGCTGCGCCATCACGGCCACGGCGGAAGTCTTACCCGCTCATCTTGAGCAAGTACCACAAACCACACAAAGCCCAGCCGGTAACGCTGCCGGTTGCGACACGCGACACCATCCCACGGGAGCCGCGGGGTGGGGACGGGATGATTTTAAGCAGTGTGCCATTGGATGGCAGCTGTCAGAGCTGAGAGCAATAAGGCCATCGTCTGATGTTTCACAGGTCGCTGTAAGGGACATGAAACACTTTGATGCAAGCTTATGACCGCTAGGCTTCTCCGTCTCGCTACCTGTTTACCAGGTAAACCCCACCGGAGGGCCTGAGTCAGCAGTGTTCTCGCCTCCAGCTGGCGTCTGGCAGCTTGGTGGCACGGATCAGTTGACGGCGCGGTCGTGGCAGCGAAGAGTGCAGGATGGGACGCTGTTACGTATTGGACGTACTATGAGGTCTTGGCCTGCGATGGCGACGCCCGAAGTTGTTGATTTCTGCAATCCAGCAATGTCTTCATGAAATAGGACAAAGGCAGATTCAGAACGAGGGAAAGATTTCACGGTGATCTGCCGCGGGAGCGTTTAAAGTCGCCCAGAGTTTGCGGGATGATCACCATGATTTACCGATAGCGAACTTTCTTTCAGCGTTCGACCCCACCCATAATGCGACGTCTTATTAGGCGTCGAGCTGACACCCACTGTAACGATCATCACGCGTCTCAGACTGTTTTAGGGAGGTGCGTTACCCCGGGTCCCCTCGTAGTGGGCAGAAATAAGCTAGAATTGAAGCTTAGAATGGGCGAATATAGGATGGTGAGGTGTTGGTGAAATGGGAGATATAAAGCATTATGAAGAAGACCATCAACATTGTGCCCATCATCAACTTATCAGTCCTTTCATCGCAATAGACTCGTTTTCAATTTCTTCAATTCTCTTAGTGCCCGGAGCATCTACTTTTAATACCCTCGTCTCATCGTTTTTGAGTTACTCAACATTCCAACAACCGCCATCATGCAGATCACCCCCGTCTTCCTCACCGTTGCTGCCTTCGCCATGGGCCATGCTGCCGCAGGTACGAACTCCCGTCTTCTCGCAACTCAAAGCCAAGCCTGAAATGACGCTTGCTGACATTGATTTTCCGTATAGCATCCGTCCCCCGTAACTTCATCGACGGCAAGGGGAGCGCTCTCTTCGGCAACGTAGGAAAGGCATGCAGCGTCGGCAGCAAGGACGGCGAGTGCGACCGCTTCGGCCGTTGCGTCCAGGAAATCCCTCCCAACGAGGTCTCCGTCCTCAACCAAGGCCAGACCGTGGATACTTGCACTGCCGGCGGACAAACTGGTACCCTGTAAAATGCCTCTGTCAGGGACTTGAACGAGAATTTTGGGGCAGTGAGTATTGGGGACAAACCTCTCTCGATAGTTCAATCAGACACACTTGCTCTCGTTCTCTTGATCGATTTCGTCCGATGCCTCACTTGCGTTGTCCACCTCTCTGTTGTTGCTCCGGCCGATCCTTTGCGCAATGAACGGGCACAATGACTACCTGGCTCGGTCCCCCCGGCATCGAGTCCATCTCGAGGAACCGAGACTGCCAGCTGAAGCTAGTTATCGCGGCGCGACTGTTCGCGGGAGGCATGACTTTTTTGGGTACTACTGGGCGAGGTACCGGGCGAGGATGCTGGACGGCAGCGGCTGGGCGCTTGGGTGAGACCATCTCGTTGGCATGCCGGACTGAGTTGAGAAGATGGAGATGACGGAGTTTCTCCATTCGGATGGGGTCAAGATTGAGGGTCGATTGAGAAGGAGGAGGAAGCGGTCTTTCCTGAAGAACATCCCGAGCAACTTTCAGGATGGGCTCAGAGGCGGAAGGATCCCTCGACATGAGGCCATTGAAGTATTCGCGGGCCTTCTGACGCTGGTAGTCCTGTTCAGTGTCAGTAACGTTGTCAAAGAGCGCGTGGTCTTTGTCAGTGAGGTAGGTGCAAGTAAATCACATACCTTGTTGCCAGGATCAATGGAGCAACCACGGACAACAGTTTGATCCTCCTTGTCAGCCGTGGCGTCGCTTTTCTGGTCTTGTTCATCAGGCGAATCGTCCGGAGGCGACTCATAATCATCAACCTTGTCCGAATGGGCCTTGACACGCTTCTTCAAGTTCTTGTAGAAATCTTTGATGTCCCTGATGAACTGATTGTCTCTGTTATTGAAGACTCCTCTTGGCTTCAGGGTGCCTGAATTTGCGGCTGATCGAAAGCGGGCGTTGATGGTCTGGATATGTCTATGAGAGACGCGCCGACGGGAACTTTCACTGCTAGCAAAACTCACCTCCAAGTGGGAGCGCACCATGTTGTGATGGTTTGTTTGGGTTTGGGATTGTTGAGGTGCAGGTCGAAAATTTTGAGAGTTGACGCGGCGGAGGTGAAATTCAAGATGCAGTGGTGGCAGTCCGTCAACCTAGCAGCTGAGTGTCATTTAGGAAGGAGGTGTCGAGAGCAGCTCTTTCCGTTTATTGCAACTGACACTGACCAATCACAGCAATGGATGAGGAAGTCAAGAGCTCACTGATTTCTTTCAAGGAGGCTTTTTTTAGTGGCTGCGGCTCACGAGCAAGCCAAGTAAACAATACTTTTATTTTCTTCCTTTTGTCATCATTTGTCCACGTCGTTGAAAAAATTATCTCTACGCAGATGCCTCCTCATCCAATTCTGGGTAGTAACGGTAGATGCCGTCGCTGTACTTCTGCCTACGGTCACTGGCAAGGTACTCCTTGATCTTGGGGCGCTCCTTGACAGCTTCGTAGAGTTCGAAAACTGCCTCGTACTCGCCGCTTCCCTCGATTCGCTTCAGCGCGTTGGGGAACGCGAACTTGACGCCATCGACACACTGCTTATGTCAGCACCGCCCTCCATTTTGTCTAGGAATGAACTCACCTGGAACAGAACCAAGTCGGCATACGTCAAGGAGCCTCCGTACAGCCACGGGCCCTCACCGCTGGCTTTGCCCTTCAGAACCTTCTCAAAGTAGCCCAGGAACTTCGGCAGACGGTTCTCAAGGTAATCTTTCGCCTTCCTCTTGCTTTCCTCCTTCTGATCGTCGTAGTACAGCCCCGTCGCAATCGGGTGATGAGTGTCGTGAACCTCGTTGCTCAACCCGTCCAATGCAGTCAGCACAAGCGCGTTGATGCGGTAGATGCCGTCCGCGTCCTCGCCATCGGGCTTGGGGGCCAGGCCGGTGCGGGGGCCCAGGTACAGCAGGATGTTGGGTGTTTGGCTGATGACGAGGTCGCCGTGCTTGAGGATCGGAGGGGCTAGAGGAGGCGGGTTGTGGTCGTCGCCGGTGTTCTTGGCGTCGATTTGAGCCAGGACCGACTTCACGCCGTCCTCGACGTGCGCCGTGTCGGTGTACTCGGCGCCTGCCTCCTCGAGAGCGAGACGGATGTGCTCGCCGCGGCCGGGTAGGCCAGGCCAGTAGATGAGCTCGTACGGGACGTCCTTGGAGGACCTTTGACGCTTGGCGCTGGGAGAGGTGGCCATGATTACTGAGATTGAGTATAATAGATACGAGGGATCAGAGTTGTAGATCAAGACGATGGAAGAGGGCTCGGTGTGGAAGAGGCGTTCGTGAGTTGAAGGAGGGAAGGAAGACGAGACGAGCGTAAGATGGCGGTGAGATTGAGTTAATGTAACGGAAGGCAGGTACACGTTGTCACGTACGACGGGAGGTTGAACATGAAGTCATGGCGCGTTCGGGTCAGCTTGCCGCCAGGGGCGACGGCGGGGTAGCGGGGCCTGTGCAGCCGATGGCGGGGCCATACGGCAGAATGACGAACGGCTCACCCGCCCCCGCTGTCCGTGACTTGAGCCCTGAGTACGGGCAGCAGCTTGCCAATACGGAATGGCGTTCCTTTGCAAAGTGCTTCTGACAACTTAATGTCTTAATTAAGTTACGGAAGCATGACTTGGTCCAATTGAAGCACTAAAGAAAACGACCTGTGCTGATGGCCTGCATACGTCGTGCAACGCCTTTCTGTCAGCTTACTGAGAATGCCCCGCTTTTCGCGGTGAGTCCCGCCCGGAGAAACACGACTCGGACAGAGTTCACCTGTGCATGTCTTGGAATGCACAGGTCGGATTTGCTATTCAGCCGGAAATAGCCAACGCGTCTCAGATCCCGGCGTGTCTGACTTTTGGTCCGTTTCGGGTTGGTTTACCGAGTTCCTCGAGCGAGAGCCCGCTGCCCGCGTGCCGCGAAACTACGGACCCTTTCTGCTTCCGCTGTGGATCTGAACTGGCTCCGATCCGATCCGAGTCGCCTGCCCGGGTCCGTCAAGAGCATTGCCTGTGAGGGCGTGACGGGGCCATGGCCGTATTGCAGCAGCAAACGATCCAACTTGGTTTACGTGGAACAAAGAAAGATGTTGTTTGGAAGTGAGAACGACAGAGTTTATTACAATACCTTGTAGTATTTTATGACGCCGGAACATCGGAGACGGGGTGCTCGTCAATTAAATCCCATTGCGCCGAATCCCCCGGATGCACCGGTAAGGCGGGGTCATTGACCATTCATGGCGCCGGCTCCGCCTCGGCTCGCAATCCGCAGACCGAGATATCCACTTCGCGGAACCGCACCTGCGGCTCCGCATGTGTGCCGCCCCCACCGAGCCATTGATCAATGCCTCCCCATGCCCCTATCCAGGTCCAGCTGAGGCAGCAACATGGCTTGAACCCACTGTAATATCGACCATCATAGCAAACGAATAGCCAGCGTGGCCTGCGGGAAGACTGCAACAGCGCATCTCGGACATTGCCCTATCAAGTCAGCTGGATTTGTGAAAAGTGACAGAGCGCGGGGCTGCTACGATACCCTTCGGCCGGTGCATCGTCCACCAAACTTGACATAACCCCGGACAAACCCCGCCTGCCAAAGGAATTAATCCCCATGATCAGTTGCAACTAACAGTCACCCAACTTCTTTAGTAAAGTATCCTCATTTGAGGAGACGACTCACCTGTCACCAAGTAAGCTGGAGCCAACCCCGGACCAAAATCAGCTGCTTCCCCCCACATGCGGGTCAATACCCCCACCAATGTCCCTGACGTCGCCGAACCAACATGGAAGATCAGACCACGGATCCAGCGCACTTTTGGCAGTCAAATGATCTGATAACATGATAGACTTTGCAGGATACCGTAGTCCGAGTCCCATCTCGCCATCTTACATCAATCAGTAGGCTCACAAGTGACGCTATAACTTATCTGTTACCACCCACATCTACACTTGAAAGTACACTTGACGCACTCTCATTCTCCAACTTTGAACCGTCTCGATTGAATTGTTCATCCGAGAAACTCGAAACCTTCCCCCCTCTCCGCAGTTTGTGTAGTAGCCATTGGAACCATTACTGAAAACCATCCGGTCAGCCGAACAACCCCGCACAAATCACTCACCTGGTCCTCACAATGGCAGCCACCTCGCGAGCAGCCAAATCATTCCTGATCCGCGCCTCGCGATCCCATCTCCCAGCGCTCACCAGCATCTCCTCAACCCTCCCCCGCAAAGCCTTCTCAGCAAGCCCCCTCACCCTGCGCTACCTCTCCACAATGAAAGCCCTCGTCTATAACGGCAATAACTCCGTCACCCTCCAGGACAAGCCCCTCCCGGACATCGTCAACCCGTCCGACGTGATCATCAAGGTCTCCAAGACCACCATCTGCGGCACGGACCTGCACATCCGCAAGGGCGACGTCGCCACCTGCTCCCCGGGCCGCATCCTCGGCCACGAGGGCGTCGGCGTCGTCCACAAGACGGGCGCCTCCGTCGCGCGCTACAAGGAGGGCGACAAGGTCCTCATCTCGGCCATCTCCAACTGCGGAACCTGCGAGTACTGCCGCCGCGGCATGTACAGCCACTGCACCACCGGCGGCTGGATCCTCGGCAATACGATTGATGGCACGCAGGCCGAGTACGTGCGCATCCCGCACGCCGAGAGCAGCCTGCACCCCGTCCCCGCGGGCGCCGACGAGGCGGCGCTGGTTATGTTGAGTGACATCTTCCCGACGGGGTACGAGTGTGGCGTGCTCTGCGGCAAGGTGCAGCCTGGCGGGACGGTCGCTGTGGTGGGGTCCGGGCCGATTGGGTTGGCGTCGATTATCACGGCGCAGATGTATGCGCCGTCCAAGATTATCGCGATCGACACGGACCCGAACCGGTTGGAGGTAGCCAAGAAGTTTGGAGCCACCGATATTGTGGATAGCTCCAAGGGAACTGCTGTCGCCGACATTAAGGCCATGACGGAGGGCAAGGGCTGCGACTCTGTGATCGAAGCTGTGGGAATTCCTGCCACGTTTGACCTCTGCCAGGAGTTGTTGGCCCCTGGTGGTGTGTTGGCGAACGTCGGTGTTCACGGAACAAAGGTTGATCTTCATCTCCAGAATCTTTGGGACAAGAACATTGGTAAGCATTGACTGGTGGGGTGAGACATTGAGCATAGGACTGACATGATACCTTAGCAATCACCACTAGGCTTGTAGACACCACGACGACGCCGATGCTTCTCAAGCTCGTGCAATCTGGCAAGCTGCAGCCTTCTCAACTGATTACCCACCGTAAGACTTCCTCTTCCTATTTTCGTTCCGACATGTGGCTTACGAAAGATGCAGATTTCAAGCTCAACGAGATGGAAAAGGCGTATGAGACCTTTGGGGCAGCAGCGCAGCACGGTGCTCTCAAAGTAGTCATCGACGTGGACTAAACATGGCAAATTCTTTTTCTATTCTTTTCTGTTACACAATGTTTCTACTTTCAGCATGGTGGAGACTTTTCATGGCTACAGGAGTTGAGTAAGTGATGGTAGGGAGCATTGAGTTGATATCAAATCAAGGCCGGCGAGGAGGTGGTGTTTGGTAGTGTTGCATGATGTTCATGTTTTCAATGTTGAGATACGAGACAGTTCACTTTCTGGGAGAATTCAATGCTATGAATTTGCCGTATGAAGCTAGGCGTCATACCCCTCGATGCCTTGGACACGCCACTTCCCACGCTACGTGAGTCGCAACATTGATATCGCAGCTTATGCATCGCCATTGAGCTTGATCAGACATCTATGGCCGCTCGGAACCATCAAGAAGTGCAATGCAGGCTCCATGTCCTTGTCGCACATGCCCTCCAACTCAGACACAGTCGCATTGGGGAAGTTGCGGAAGAATCGAGCGGTGATCAGGCGAAGTTCGATGCGAGCGAGGTGACGTCCGAGACAGGCTGTTACGTTGGTTAGCATGACAACCAGAAAGGTATTGCGGTGTAAACAAAACTCACTCCTCGATCCACCTCCAAAAGGCATGGTGCAATCCTTCATCTCCTGTGTAGTATGTTCCCACCTATCCGGGTAGAACCTATACGGATCCGGGAACGCGTGCTCATCACGATGCAAACTATACGCCTGCGTCGTCACCGTCGCGCCCTCCGGAATAAAATGCCCCGCAAGCTCCGACCCGCCCGCCGGCACGATCCGTGGCAGCCCGCACGGCAGCGCCGTATACAGCCGCAGCGTCTCGTTGACGATCCAGTTCAGGTACGGCATCTCGCGGAGGTCCTCGTAGCCAAAGTCCTCGGGCAGCGTCGCCAGCTCGGCGAGCAGCTTCTTCTTGACGTCGGGCAGCTTGCAGACGGCCCAGATGAGGTAGATCATGGAGTTGGCCGTGGTGTCGCTGCCGCCGACGATGAAGACCTGCGCGTTGTCGCGGATCTCGATCGGCGACCAGCTGTCCTCCTCGCCGGCGGTGTAGAGCTTCGAGAAGACGGTCGGCTTGGGGTCGTCGCCGGTCTCCTCGACGCGTGTGGCGTGCCGGTCGAGCGCGCCCTGCGCGTAGTCGAAGGTGCGGTACTGGATCTTGGTGGCGTCGCGGAAGACGGGGATCGGGAGGTAGAGGGAGAACCAGGCGATTGTGGGGAACATGGAGCGCAGGCCGCCGACGAAGCCAAGGCTGATGAAGTCATTGACGGATCTGTTTTTCTGGGTTGTGTGAGATTCAAGGTCCAGTAAGGGTACGTTGATTGTGGTACTTACAACGCCGCTTTCAAGCTGACCGAAGCCCTCGCCGAAGGTCAGGTCGCCAATGACGTCGAATGATAGAAACATGAACCACTTGGCAATGTCCGCAGCTCCACGAGTCTTATTTTCGTCCCGGATACGCTCGATGGCCATGCGTACTTTGCCATCAATGCGTGGCAAAAACGTCTTCAGTCCAGTCTCTGACATTGGGTTCGACAGCAGGCGTTTGTATTTGCGATGGATTTCTGGCCGAATTTCGTTGAAGACGCTGGACGAATCTGTGATGAGGAGCGAGTAGAAGGGAGACTTCAAAAAGCCCCCCTTGACACTGTGGATGCGCTGGCATGTTTGCGGATCAGAGACGTCGACTTCGTGTGGACTAATTCGCACCACGGGGCCGTATTTTGCGTGCAGAGCGTGCACCCAGTCAGGGTGATGAGCGGTGATGACGAAGTATGTTGATACGAGGGTTGTGAACCGTGTGTACCACGGGCCTGGTATGTTTGATAAAGGGTTTGTGAGACCTTGATATATGTACTATCGTGCGCCATTAGTTTCGTTTGTCGTTCCTCACTGCTGTTGAAGAAGTTACCGTAGCTAGGCCAACGCACACAAGTGCGCCTCCGAGATAGAGGGGGTTTGTTTTGAGAAAGTCCATTTTAAGCGCAATGAAACACCAGCATTAGTCGCTCAACCTTCACCCCCAAGGGCTTAATGTCCTTTGGAAATGCATCCATCTTATAACTATACATTCGCTCTTCTCGTCACTTGCTTCGTGTCCTTCGGAAACCCCCAACTGAAGAACCGTACGGACAAGTCAAGTCATGATGTTGGTAAGCAGCAATGGCAGATTGGGCCACGGCGTGAAACTGTCTTGAGGCGGTTTGCGTATTCCGTGTTCGACGTTGGGATGACGATCCAGCCAGTAAGGTTCGTGCACGCCATCGGAGTGGGTGGCGCGGGGGAACCGCTGGAGTCGTCCGGTGTACCAAGGTTTCTTTTCTGCTCAGACAGAAACGTCCGAGGGACCCCACGTAGCGTCATTTAGGGCCCGGTCGATGGAAGTGTTGCGAACACGGAGGCTGCGGCGGCTTCCCAATCCGGAGAGGAAAAGATGGGACGACGATTCAGTGGCAGTGTTGCATCCGCGGGATCCGCTCGGGAGGAAGTCGAGAGATTAAGAAGTCGGCAATCGGCAGTCGTCTTGGGTCCGATAAGTTGATTGACTCTCGATGGGCAAGTGCTGGCGCAGTTTTACAAAGAGGCTGCTGTTTTGACAATATCGCAAGTTGATTGTTATCTGTGAGTGAAAACAAATACACGTCGCGGTCGCATAATCTAGACACGTCGACACCACTGTCTCCTACACCCCCATCATCAGTCCGAACTCTCAACAAGCTCAAGAACCCACATCTTGTCGCACACCCACGAGACAAGAGTTTTGTTGAAGGTGTGGTTTGGCTCAACCACTACGAAGTCAAAGGTTTGACTATGTTCAGCGTCTTGGCACTAACAAACTCTTGAAAGACTTCTCGGGAGCCGGTCCATCGATTTTTTTCTCGGAACCAACGATGTTGCAATGAATGAAAGCTAAGCTCCGAGCCTAGTCTGGGCTTTGGGTGCAATTTCTCTGCCGTTTGTTGATATGAAAGCCATCTTCTGCTGAGTCTTTCAGGATTTGGCAGCACTCAACGGTTGTGGGATGAGCGCCAACCCTATTCGAGTGTTCGAAGGCTCGATAGACAAGGTCAACCGAACGCTCTGGGCTGGTTGCAACCACTAGGCGCTGACGTGATAACTCAAAGCATGAGTTTGCTCACATCCAAAACCTTACTTCGGCGATGTTTCGACTACAGGCAGATATTCTGTCTCAACGGCACAAAACATTTAGCACAAAGTGGAAATCTTTGTGTCGCCATTTCGATGAAGTTGATTTTTAGTGAAGGTGTTTGCCGCACGACTGGGCTACCAAGAGGAAACCCAGGAAACATGATTGGCTCCAGTGCATCTCTAGACCACCTGTTGCTGTCCAGGTTGACCGCTCTGTCAGAATTCGCCGCAATCCTGTCGCTGACTCTACAGCGGCGTCAACAAATGATCATGGAAACCAACCCAAAAGTCTTCAAATCTGCATGCACTATGGTTGGTGCAGGATGAGCCAAATACCGGGACAGTCTCGGTGATCGCGCTGCCAATCTGCGCGTCTGGCACCATCACCAGCATCAAGCACGTCATTCGCAGCCAGCCAACCCAACCCCGCGCACGCAGCGGAATCCTCCGCAACGTGCCATTACAATCCATCAAAAATTCGCTTTCAGGCTTTATCTCCGACTTTAAGCATGTTTGGGCCCGTCAGCCAACGAGTTGAGCACCAACCAGAGTCCGTTGTCTTGCGCAGTCCCCTCGTGTGTCGTTCAGCCACGCGCCCCACCCACATCCCTTTTCAGCCGACGACCGTTCAAGGCGCGCACACAGCGTCCAAGTTGTCGGTCAACTCCCGGCAGGCTTCGCATACGCCACGAGAAGCATCGGAGAAAGGTTCGTTGGTTGTCCAGGGTCGGGCACCGTCCGACTTCCGGGGATGCGCGGAAGCGGGACTCTTCCCACAAATGCAGGCCTGGGCAGTGGGTGGTTCGCATGGCACAAGGCCCAGGGACTCTGGCGCAATCGATAAGGTGGGAGAACTTTGACGTGCAGGGGCGGGTGGGCAGCAGTTATCAATCAATTGTCCCAGCTCCCTGGTGCTGGGAAGCTCTTTGATTGAAAGGCCTTCTGCCACATTTCGTCTTTGTCTAGGACTTTCCAACGGCCATATATGTGCTGATTGCCGAAAATGCCTACCGCCGACACCGTTCCGAGGAAGAAGTGGTGGAAGATTCAATGGTACTCTGACGATGACACGCCCGAGGAGCGCAAGCTCATTGTCAAGCTTGACATGATTGTTGTTCCTTATGCGGTCTTAAGCTACTGGGTCAAGTACATCGATCAGGCGAACCTGAGTAGGTGAAACAGTTTTTTCGCTGTTCCAGGCAAACGCTGACACGATCAGACAATGCCTATGTTGGAGGCATGAAAGAGGAGCTCGGGTTCCAAGGCAACGAGTTGGTTGAGCTACAGACCATGTACACCGTCGGCGCTGTTGTCGGCATGGTGCCTTTCATGTTTCTCTTCACCTACGTTCCTATGTACTGGACGATTCCGGCGATGGACATTCTGTGGGGTCTTTTTACGCTTCTCCAATACCGTGGACAGACCTTTGGAGAAATGGCTGCTTACAGATTCATGGTTGGCTTCTTCGAGGTATGTGGAATTTCATGACTTCGTGGTCTATCGTATTGGAGCTTCCTGCACCTGCTCGCCAATCGCCGAGGACAGGCATTGTGCATGGACTCCTCTACTATCCCTGGCGTCTGCCGTATGGACCTGACGATACATTTAGGCTGCATTCTTCCCGGCTATGCATTATGTCTTTGGCTCGTGGTACCGCGGCCATGAAATCGCTCGCAGGGGTGGCATATTCTACACAGGACTCAATCTCGGAACACTAACGGCTGGCTTGATCGCCGCCGGCGCAACGCGTCGCTTGGAAGGCGTCCATGGCATGGCTGGGTGGCGGTGGATGTACATCATCTGCGCCATCATCACCATTCCCGTGGGAATCCTCGGCTATTTTCTCCTCCCCGGCACCGTCGACCAGCCGAATCGCTGGGTTTTGAACGACCATGATATCAAGGTGGCTAAGGCCCGACTCGAAAGAGGTGGCCATGTTACGCGTGGCAAGTTCAAGCTGGGGCACATCAAAAAGATCTTCCTCAGCCCGCAATTCTGGACCGTCGTCCTCGTCGATGTGCTGTTTTGGAATGCCGGTATTCACAAGAGCACTGGCAGCTTCCTTCTGTGGATCAAGAGCTTGGGCCGCTACACCTCGGCAGAAGTCAATGAGATGGGGACTATCGCTCCTGCCCTTGGCATCCTTTACAACATCGTGGCATGCTTCCTGTCTGATCTGGTGCTGGGGCCGGCGTGGGCTATTACGTTCTCATCGTTGTGGAACGTCACGGGGCTGATAATCTTGGTCATTTGGGATGCGCCCGAAAGCGCTAAATGGTTTGCGTTCGCCACAATGTATTGGTCCAACGCACTTTCCAGTGTGTTACACGGCTGGGTCAACACCATCCTCCGAGACTCTCCCGAACAGCGGTCTTTCACGCTCGTGATGATTACCATCATCGCACAGTCTTCAACTGCTTGGACGCCTCTTCTTACCTTCCCTACCGTTGAGTCCCCACGATACCCAAAGGGTTTCTCGTTCTGTCTGGGGTGCGCCATATCACTCATCATCGCCACCCACATTTTGGACGTTTACATCAAACGCAAAGAGTGAGTCAAATTACGCCCCACATTAGGCTAGGATCAATCAATACTGACGTCTGCAAACAGGAAGGCAAAGCTTACACATTTGGAGGACGATCACAGCCAGGAAGGAAGCTACGGGGATGCATCTCCAGGTGAGGTGGCATCAGGCAAAGTGGCAACTGCCAACGTAGCTACTGCTGTAAACACCTCTGAAGAGTCAATTGCACGTCGTTGAATCGACAGAGACGACAGCATTCTCCTCAGCCTTATAGTCATAGAAATATGGTGTACTTCTCATGAATTGTGGAATAAAAGTGCAAGGACAAAGAAAGGATGACCAAATTGAAATTCAGTATATTTCCAGAAACGCGGTCGTAACTACATGTAGTCGATTACGCGCGCGGTGCGGTAGCTATCCTGCGGCGGCCGGCCGACTTCATTGCCGGTAAGTGGGGTACTGCCCGGTTGCCGGAAACTAGCGTCCGGGCAGCAAAACACCTACTATTCTCCGTATCCGTCGGGACTACTCTATGCTCCGTCGGCTACTATACGCTCCAGCTCCAGCGGACCCCAACTGAAAGCCGTCGGCTTGGTTTTCTCACGAAAGGATATTTCATGCAAATTGCTTGACTCCATTTCGCGACGCGATGAAGACTTTTCAGTCATTTGATAAATAGTCTCAGGCCAGCACTCTTCGTTTTCCAACAAGCTCTGGTCAAGGTCCGAAGCCATGGCAGACATGTTGAAACCCAATACGTCCGTGCCATGGATGGGCGTTCTAGGCCCTTTCATCGCGGTGTTGCCGCTTCTTTATTCCCTTTATCGATACCTCCTGCCGAAGCCCATTCCTGGAATCCCTTATAATAAAGACGCCACGAAGAGTCTCCTCGGCGATATCCCTCAGATCAAGAAAGAATCTCCCGGCAATATCTTTAACTGGATCTCAGCCCAGTCTCGTCGCCATAACAGCCCCATCTTCCAAATCTGGCTGGGCCCTTTTACGAAACCTGCTGTCGTCGTTGCCGATTTCCGCGAGGGCCAGGATATTCTTCTGCGCCGAAAGGAGTTTGACCGCTCTAACTTTATGAGTAGTGTCTTGTCCGGCGAGGCAAATTCTTTCCATATTACCTTGAAGACAGGCCCACAGTGGAAGGCTCAACGTCGCTTACTTCAGGACTTGATGACTCCGGCATTTCTCCACAGGGTCGCGGCTCCGAATATCTACAAGAGTGCCTTGCGCCTCGTAGATCTCTGGAGAAAGAAAGCGCATCTTGCCGATGGGAAGTCATTTTCAGCAGAGCATGATGTCTTCTACGCTGCCCTAGATGCCGTCTTCGACTTCGGATTCGGCGACGCTGCCGAGATGAGGGCCCTCATTCCTCAACTTGAGGCGTTAGCAACTACCAATGTCGAAGCCTTGCGAAATGCAGCAGTCGACAAAGAGGTGTTGAGCTTTCCAACTGCTCCAATCCATCCTGCGCTCGAAGCAACCCTACAGGGTGCAGATAACATTGGTGGAGTAGCCGAGACTGGGTTTCCAAGGCTTGCATGGTCAATCATTGGGCTTATGCCTAGTATCCGTCGGACAAGAGCTGTACGAGACAAGTTTCTTGTGGATCAGGTCTTGCAGGCGTCGGAGAGATTCAAACTCCAAGTTCAGAATGCTGGCGACGAAGAAAAACATGTGACGTCCGCAATTGACTTGATGGTTCGACGACTGAACGGGGTTGTGGAGAAAGAAGGCCACCTTCTCCCCAACTGGATCGAGACCATGAAGGACGAGGTAAGAAGAACGCTCAAGTGACCACTCAAGATCACATGCTGACCTTCCATTGATCTAGACTTCCGGCTTCATTGTTGCCGGGCACGACACGACGAGCACGACTCTGTGCTGGGGTCTGAAGTACATGGCGGATGATCAATCAGTTCAGCAAAGACTCTTCGACAGTCTCCGAAGCTTTCACTCAGCTGCTGCGACCGAAAATCGACTCCCTACACATTCCGAGATTTGCGACGCGAAGATACCGTATCTAGACGCAGTCATTGAAGAGATGCTTCGACTTGCCCACACAGCAGCCAGCCAGGATAGAGATTGCAAAGAAGACACTATCATCCTAGGCCATGCCATCCCCAAGGGTACCCTCGTGATGATCCCGAACAAGGGTCCCAGTTTCACCGAGCCAGGCTATGAGATCGATGAACGCCTACGTAGCTCATCTTGCCAAAAGGCAGCCAAGGACTTTGGTCTGAGAGTCTGGGACAGCCACGGGATGGAGAAGTTCAGACCGGAGCGCTGGCTTATACGGAATGAGAAGGGCGAGGATGAGTTCAATGCTGCTGCTGGTCCAACCCTACCCTTTGGCCTTGGACTTCGAGGCTGTTTTGGACGGAAGTTGGCATACATGGAGATGAAGCTGTTGGTCACCACCCTGGCGTGGTCATTTGAGTTCCAAAAGTGCCCGGAGAACTTGTCGAGTTACAAGAGCATTACAAGCCTCACACGGAAGCCTGTTCAGTGCTATGTGCGCTTGAAGCTTCGTTGAAAATGGTACATAGTAGCTATCTCATCAACCTGTATCATAGAATATCCAGTGAGCAAAAACGCTGTAACTATACAAAGCCACGAAATAGAATCCTTCCTTGGAGTACCGCGAGCGAAGCAGCCTTCTTTTGATCTGAGACTGACAGAGATGCGTTGGTCTGCTCTGCGCCTCCCACGTTATGTACGACAATTCCGCCGCCATACACATGCTCAAAGTCCACCTTTGCGTCCCAAGAGTACAGCGTCGACCTCTCTCTGAAAAAGTACGGTAGCCCGTTTCGATACACAAGTTCGTGAGTATCTCTCCATGTGGGAAGGTGTCCAGTTCTGAAATTTCCTTCAACGTCAACAGCTACTGCGCAGTGCCAGGGCGTCATGGAGAACGTGTCCGACTGGGGAATCAGTGGCATTGATATTTTGGTCAAGCCTGTTGATGGATGAATGGAGAGTCTGACGTGCTCTGGTAGCTTCTCCCGAATCAGCTCTGCAAACGCCTAGAGATGTTTTTAGCTGAGTTGAGCATGCGCTCAGAGATGGACACTACTCACTACGCCTCGTGCAATCATCGTCTTGGCGGTTTCGTGAACCTTTGCTTTGTACTTCTTCCCACTGATCGCTGAGTTTCTGATCGGGCCGTATGCCAGGTCCTTTTTCAAAAACTTAGCGTAGCCATCGAAGGTCATTTTGTAGTCGGGGTCCGTCTTGATGCACAAATTCGCGTCAAAGTCAGGATCAACATATCTCCTCATCAATTCCTGCCTTGATGGCTCGAGAAGACTGATGAATCTTTCTTTCGTAACCGTAGAATCATTATGCAATCCTAAGAGATTCATGATCCGCACGAACTCTATGCATCGGTATCCCTTGCTTGCGACCATCTCACGTAAAGTGACACCGTACTCCCAGAGGTCATCGTCTGTGACGCCGGTAAGATCTGTTCATAGTCAGTAAACTCGTCGCTTAATAACCCCATGAGAAGAGCACTGTAAGGTGGCTGATGCCTACCGTTGTAACATGCGCCGTCTGTTGCGATCAGAACTGTTGCCCCTGGGGCATAGATATTCTGTATCTGGGAGCAAAGATCGTTCAATCTGTCCAGTGCCAGTTCCTCACCCAGGTCTGGATGAGTCCCCAATACCTTGTCGACGCGATTGATGCTCTTGGCAGGAAACGCTGGTAGCACCATGGAAATTCGTCTCCCTGCAACAACATGGCGATTGACACATGGTGAGAAAACGTCTCGGCCAAGGAAGTGCGCATTTCCGTGTTGCTGAAGACTGAATTTCCCAAGAATATCCATGATGGAAGAGACAATGTCTTGATATGCTTTCCCGTGTCCATCATTAATGTAATGTTCTCTGGAATGGGCATTGGAAGGCTGAGGTGCTTGTCTTGGCTTGGGGACGTGGATGGCGGCCGTGTGAGCCAGATGACGCGAGCCAGCGAGTTTGATGTAAGTCTCTAATGAGAGAGACGCCAGGTCTGTCGTTATTACTTCTGTCGTAGACATCGTGGGATGAACTCATAAGAGCGAGGTTGATCGAGCTGACCTACATCAGTAACAAATATGACTAGAAGTCAAGAGTGACATGCACTTAGTTGTGATAATTGTCGTCTAATTATGGTTTTCGAATCCTCACAGCTTATTTGGTTTCGGACCAATCACCTCGCACAAACTCAGTGCATACCCGAAAAGTGACACGCTCCTGCTTTGAAGAGCACGTCATGTGGCACTGCAGCTTGCGCCACCTCAAGCTTGTTCTATTCCAGTAATGTCTCCATTGCAATGTAACTTTATCTTTGAAACCGGGAACACGCGAGTGTAGTCTCAATAGGAAGTATACTCCGATGCCAATTGTAAGTGATCAGAAATTTGGGAGATTCTGTCATGTTTACTGGAATGACATGAAACTGTTCCCAGGGGTGTGATGAGTGTCCTAATATGAATTGAAGTCCGTAACAAACTACTGCCAAGTCTACCAGAAGGATCGTATGTAACTTGCGGTTGCGTCTTTGGTTCAAGTGACACCTGCAACTTGGCGGCGATCATTCGAATCCTTTGATCCACAACACTGTATCTCAGCCTGTTGCCATTTGTAGGGGAAGCGTGGTTTGCGCCTGGTTCATCGCTCACGGGAAAACTCCGAAAATCCGCGCAACGGCAAACCCATGCAGCTTTCCCAGTATCATGAATTATTCGCAATTGAGGCATCGGGAAAATTGCGGGATGGCTCTTCATTCAAAGAGAGCTACTTCAGAATTATCGTGACAAATGATAAGGTCATGCAGATTTACACTTTAGGCATGCAACGTCTTGAATCCTCGAACCTTTGCGCCACCCCGTCTAAGGGCTAAACTCGCAAGCTTCAGCTCGAGCTCATGAGTCAACAGCTTGTCGCTCTCGGCCTCTGAAGTGTTTTCCAGCACAATTAGTCCTCCATATTTGTGATGGATCGTGACATGACTCGGCCAGTCAAAATCCAAATGCTTCTCGCGCACAAAGTATGGTTGTCCATCACGCTTAACAATCTCGTACTTTTGCGTGTCTTGTAGATCCTGGGACAAATCTGTGCGAAATTCTCCATCGCCTGTCACCAAGAGAGTGGAGTGCCAAGGTGTGAGTCCGAACCCCCCAGGCTGTGGTATCAGTGGAATCGAGATCTTATTTTTCCCCGTTGATCGGTGGATGGATAGCCTGATCACTCGTGGGAACTTGTGCTCAAGGGCTCTTTCGTATGCCTGTCAAAATATGATCAGTAAAAGGTACGCGCATGAACTCGGTCCCAGGTGCTTACAATTAGTCTCTGTGTCATCCGCTCAGCGATCCGCTCTGTCTCAGCTGCATACTTGGCTGCGTCTGATGTGATATCAGGCTCAACCTCGGGACCCCAGCGCAGATCCTCTCGCGCAGATCTCACGTACTTCTGGTACGTGAGTGCTGTGTCGGGGTGGGCCCGAACCTCGCCCTGGACGCTGAGGTCTGAACCGAGAAACCTCTGCTCCATCTCTCGCCGACAAGTACCAGCTGCGGCGAGATGTTCATCCTTGGACATGGCATCGCCGTTTCCGAGGCCAAGCACGTCGACTAAGCGAACAAACTGGATGTGTGAGAACCCCTCTCGTCTTGCCAATTCCCGAAGCTGAACTCCATAATCGAAGTAGTCTGCGTCCGGGATACCGAGAAGATCTAGACGTCCCCATGTAAGCTTGTCATTCTTCCAGCCCGAGTCATACGTCGGTGGCGTCGGTGAGAAGTGGACAGACCATTGTAAACGGGGCCATCCGCAACCAGGATCAGACGTGCTCCGCGCAGGTAAATCTTCCCAACCTCTTTGCAGAGATGGTTCAGTCTAGCCAATCCTAGCTCCTCTCCCAAATCTGGACTTGGGCCCAACACCTTGTCAGTGTTGGGGTTCTTCCAAGGAAACGCTGGGAGAAGCAGAGATATCGGCTCCCCAGCCTCATCAAACTCCTGCAGTCTATTTGCTACCACTGCTTCATATGCAGGGCGCTCATTGGAAGCGGGCTGTGCCTCATGCTGGGAAAATTGTCGAAGAACGGCGAGGATGGATTCGACTTCGGGCTGGGATACATGTAGTGATGCCATTGCAGCTAAGGTAGTTACAGTCAAGAAGGGATGCTATCAGTGAATGATGTTTTGTCAAATAAATAGAAGTCTTTGACATGCTATCAGTGATGTTACATGCACTGTCGCTTGATCTTTCAGGCCTATGAACAGGCTATTCCCAACTACTTTGACAATGAATTGGACTGATTGCGTCATTGGGTTACCCCAGTAGACAATCTTCAAGACCTCGTGTTGATGGATCTACGACACCAATACCGACAATGTGGGCCGCCAGGGGTACCGAGTTGATACTACCCTGTGCTTCTTGGCAGAAACACCACTTGCCTTTTTCGGTGAGTCTGATCTTGCGTGATCATACAACCAGTGACCCTGGAAGAGATTTCCTCCAAGCCTAGAATCTCCGCAGAATCTCTCCGCCGTCTACTGAGCTTGCTCCGACTGCCGCGGGGGCCAGCAAGCTAGCCCCTGCTAGCTCAGTGACGAGACTCAAAAGCATGTTTTCACAACCAGCAGCGGCTATCAGATTGACGGTGACTGGCAAGTTCTCAACATGCTTCGTGATGGAAGAATTGTAGGGGGTTTGACCAACTAAGGGCGAGTCAGTGCTGGATCGGCATAAGCCCGAACACATAACTCACTTGGAATAAGTAGATCTGGAACCCCAGCGAACACGCTCAAATACGAAGTTGCGAATCCAAAAGGGATGGTCGGAGGGCTCCGGTAAACATTTCTGTACTGGGTAACTGGCGGACTGGCGTATGCAATGATAGACGACGAGCATGTCCTGTTATCGGGCTTGAGTACCACGTCTTGGAACCAATCCTTGAACAACGTCATGTTTCTGACGGCATCATCAGCTGCGGGCTCTGGTAGACTATCTCCATAGGCCCAGCGCGCCAAGGGCACCGGGTTCACGAACGGGAGCCGCCCGTCGTGCAGACGGCCGTAGTCGGCGTAGAACGGGTCCCGTACCAGCTCAGTCTGTCGTCGGCTGATGAGGGTCGCGTAGGTCGTGTTGAGGAGGCCGTTGAGCGTCTCGGGAGCCGCGGGCGGTCGTAGATCTTGCCACAATTTGGTGACGTTGAATTGCGTGATTGTCTGGATTCCAAGGAAGTCCCTCAATTCATCAAGGAATCGGTCCAGAGCTGCTGTTGTCTCATGACTCAGCCCATCGGGATAAGACTCTACAAGCAGGCTTTTGGGGAATTCGCTTGAAGAATACACCGAAACTCCGTACAGCTGAGCGGACGCATCCCGAAGGAGAGCGGGGTCCCGCGCGATAAGCCCCGCGGTGTCGAACTCCGGAGCCAGGGGTAGGGTGTGATCCAGAGATGCTGCCCCGTGGGATGGTCTCAACCCATAGAGACCCTGGACTCGGGCGGGGCCCCGAATGCTTCCGCCCGTGTCGGACCCAAGGGCGATATCGAGCCACTCGTATGAGGCGACGCTTGCTCCAGCGCCGGCAGAAGAGAAGTTGGGATCCTGGTACCCGTCTCCTCTGGGGTTGAACGGGGAGTGGTAATCGATCCAGTCGGCGTTCGCAAACTCCCCATTGGCGAATTGAGCTGTCTTCACCTTGCCGACAACAACAGCGCCCGCGTCAATGAGGCTTTGTACTGCCGGTGCAGTCTGAGATGCAGGAGGATAGAGGTTGTACCATGCCCGATTGCCATTTCCGGTTTTGATCCCTGCGATGTCGTATATGTCTTTGACACCGAGACGAACACCTGCGAGTGGCTTCTCCGGGGTTGCTTTGTAGTAAAGGCGTGACGGAACTGCAATTGCGGGTCCTCCGCCCGGGAGGCCGGCGGGGAGAACTGAGTGCTTGCCGTTTACATTGGTGTAGATGGTTTCGGAGAACGCCGCCTGAGAGTCAGAATAAAGTCGAGAGACTCTGTGAGTTGTTCCTTTCAAGGACAGAAAGTATGGTCCTTCTGCAATCCTTTGCGTTTCGTTCCTTAGCTGGTCAATGACAATAGTCCATCCGTCTTCTTGTTTGACGGATACGCCTTTGTCTTCACCGTCGTCGACAGTTTGGGAGTAGATGGCTGGGACGTATCAGCATTTCTCTGTTTGGCGGATAAGAGATCACCCACCACTCGAAAACTCATGATTCCAGACATCATCTTGTGCATGGAAACGGGCAAACTCATTCTCAAGCGCTCCCACAGTCAGATTTGTGGAGTGAACTACACTCAAAGGAACAAACCCTCCCACGGCGGCCGTCTGATTGTAGAAAACCTTGGCAACGACGTCTTTCGGGAGGTTCCCGACAGCCTGTGGTTCAATCCAGTATGTGTTGCCGCCCAAAAAGGCAGTCGTACCGGCCAGCTGCAAAGCTGAGCTCGCAACATGGCCCAAAGATACCACAACGATAAAGAATGAAAGTCGCCGAAACATGATTAGTTGTGTCGAAGCCAGTCCGTCGTAGTCTCGCCTGGAGGAACTGCATGCTACCCGCTCCGATCACTGACTGATATTTCATCACCATTGGACAGCCACTTACACCGAACCTCTTTCTGAGCTGAGTCGTGATTCTCTTGGCATGCATATTTAGAGTTCGCTTGCCCCTGTCGTTTGATCTGACGCCATTCTGGGTCCCTGGCATGACATCGCGGACCGGTCCGAAAAAAGACAATCTTGCCGTTATCGTGGGGATTCGATTTTGCCGACAACGTTGAAAAGCCGTCGGCAAATACAACCTGCAGAATGTCGTCTTGTACCAGGATTAAGGTGAGGTTGCATTTGACTGCGTCCCGTTCTAGCTGTTCTAGGACGCCCATGATTCGATGCGATCTGCGCTACTGGTTTCCGCCTCTTGAGCTCGTCGTCCAAGTCAGCTGACCACAACAACAAACACCTCAAACTTACATGCTTTTCGTCTTCCTGAACGAAGGCATGGCCAAGCATCTGACGACAGGTTCAGCGTCTGCTCGAAGTCAGGTATCATGGGCGCAGACGCCCGTGAACGCACCTCTGCTACCGTAACATCTGTTGCAGAGCAGCAACGACAGTATGGCGATACTCCAGACGGCGGTTTGCTGGCTTGGACGCAGGTTGCCATGGGTCATCTTGTCATCTTCAACTGCTGGGGATACATCACATCGTAAGTATGTTCATGACGATTCTGAATCATGCTGACTTGTAGAAGTTTTGGCTTCTTTCAACAGTACTACGTTGAGCAGCTGCAGCGAACAGCCTCTGACATATCATGGATAGGATCCATGCAGATGTTCCTGCTCAACTTTGTCGGCTTCTTCTCAGGCCGCACGGTTGACTCTGGCCACTTCCGCTTGTCACTAAGCATCGGCTGCGCATTCCAAGTCACCGGCGTCTTCCTGACTGCCTTCTCAACGCAGTACTGGCAGCTCTTTCTCGCCCAAGGTGTCTGCAGCGGTCTCGGCCACGGGTTCCTGTTCGCCCCCATCGTTTCCATTCTTCCGACGTACTTCAAGAAGAACCGCGCCGTGGCTGTCTCGTTGGCCACGTGCGGCGCCTCAACAGGCGGTATGGTGTTCCCCATCATCGCTTATTTCGCGATGCCGAGGTTGGGATTCAGATGGACCGTCATTATCATGGGGTGCGTCATCACTTTCAACGCAACGATGATTCTCTGCTTCACGAGGACGCGTGTAGCTACCCGGAAACCTCGTTCGTTGTTTGATTTACGTGCATTCACCGAGCTGCCGTACACGCTGTTCGCCGTTGGTTCTTTCTTTGCCCTTTGGGGAATCTACTTTGCGTACTTCTACGTAAGTCTTGACGCCAATGCGCGTTATTTCTTCATCTGACTCTTCAAGATTGGCATATTCGGTCGCTCAGTTCTGGATTTCTCATTGACGCAATCGTTGCTTGCCATCATCGTCATGAATGGCGTTGGGCTCTTCGGTCGTGTGATTCCAGCTCTGCTTGCCGACAGATACTTCGGAATCTTGAACACGCTGATTCCCGTCGTCGGCGTAAGTGGTATTCTCATCCTCGGCTGGACAGGAGTGTCTTCCACCGGTGGGCTGTTTGGCTGGGCTGTCATTTACGGGATTGCTGCAAATGCTACTCAGAGTCTCTTCCCGGCCGCCGTCGGCGATTTGAGTACAGATCCTACGAGAGTCGGCACCAAGGTGGGCATGGTTTTGGCGGTTGTCGGCGTTGCTTGTTTCACGGGACCACCGATCGGAGGACGTTTGATTGCGATCAACGACGGCAACTATCTGTACGCGCAACTGTTTGGAGGTCTCTCGATGTTGGCGGGCTGTGGGACTTACGTCCTAGTGGCATGTAAGAGACCTAGGAAGTTATGAAGTTAATTGACATAGTGAACAAATTGAATCGAAGTTTTGAATGGTGCATTGGACAGTGCAAATAGCTGAGGGTTATTTCGTCGTCAAGCCGTTGTGTTATCCCTTATGAAGAAAGATTGGTCATTTCTCGCATGTCTTTTTTGTTGTAACCAGTGCTACTAATACTGAAAGCGCCAACTTGTATGCGCCGCACTGGCTAATATCCATACCTCCAAGCCAGACCCGAAACTCCTTTTTGTTTTGTTTTTTGTTTTTTTGCCTTCCCTCAATCCCTGGTCTAGTTCTTGTCCTCGGCCTTATCAACATAGAGTCCCGTTCTCACACCTCGCTGCGCCATGTACCCTTGGTGGTCCTCGCTGACGGAGCGAATCGATGACAGGATCTTTGACCGATCTCTCGCTTCCTGCTCCTTCTGTAAAGTTGCCTCAATCCATTCCGCACAGCCGTCGCAGGTCGTTCCTTCGTAGGCCATGGGGTGTTCGATTTCAAAGAACGTGGCCTTGGCCAGAGTGTCTCTCAAAGCTGTGACCGTCTTTCGGTAGTGGTGGGCGAAACCTGAGCCTTGCAAGCCGTTGCCAACTGGAAGTTGCTCCTGCCTATCGAGTCTATGGAAACCATTCAATAGGCGGGATAGTAGGGTTGCGCCACAATCGTAGTGGTCGTTGGCATATTCGAGACACATTTCTCCATCCATCATTTCCGGATCAATGAGTCTCTGCGTGTAACCACCGGTGTGGATCTCCTGAATAACAGACCAATATGGAAGAAGTTCCAACATCAGCAGTTCTTTGCGAGCATGATTGATGATTTCTATGGAGGTGGTGCGTCAGTAAATGTTCTTCTTCGTATGGTGGCCTCACTTACCAGCCAGCTCTGATGCCTTCAGAATTCTCATAAAGTCCAGAGTCACAGGACTTGTTCTCTCCTGGTATCCACAGCGGCTCAGTTTTCTCATTTTCCTGTATGTAAGCTGCCCGTTCCCAAATAAAAGGAGGTGGACGAGGGATGATGGCGCCGTCCAAGTCAACCGTCCACTTCGTCGCGATCTCCATGACCACCTTCCCAAAAAGCTCAGAATCGCCCAACTCCGACGCTATCCAAAGCAGCGCAGGCTGATCCAGGTCCTCACCCACGGAATCAACCCATCCTCGAGCCCAGGGCTGAATAACGTCGAGGGCGTCGTACTTGTCAACTAGAACCAGCATTTCGTAGAGATCTGGTATGGAGATACGCTGCGGCACCCAATCGAAGCGCGCGTGCATCATGTTCAGCATGATCTGCATGGACTCGGTGTCGTCGTCGGGCAGGTCCACGATCCAATCGCTTGACTCTGGGCGAGATTCCTTGAAGCGTCCATGGAGCATCCTCATGAAGACCGGAGATACGCGCGACACGGTTCTGGAGCAAACTTTGAAGGATGACTGCTCCGGTCCAACGCGGAGGGTCAAATCGCCCAGTTCATCCAACTCTTGCGATTTGTGGTCTCTGATTTTTTTCGAGTCGGTCTTGTCGTCTGGGTCTGATCGGACTCGTTTCCGGTCACCGTTGGCGACTGGTTCTTCGCCAATAGAGTCAATTACGACCACCGGACCAACTCCGGCGTATGACATGTTTACTTATAGGTAGCAATTCCGGATGTAGTGAAGATAGTGAGAGAAGACAGATTATTTATCGCAAATAGTAGTATTGATGCGAAAGTACACTCAAGACTTGAAGAGACATGCGGGGTTTTAGCCAAAGCATCAAAAGAGGGGGTTGGAGATCGAACGCAACGATGAGACGTCACGTGGGCCTTTGAAAACCTGGAATCTGCATCGCAAAAAAGCAATTCTGGCCCACAATTGATAACATCAGTGAGGGTATTCGCGGATGCAGCGCTGCGAGCGCAGCCTCGGCTTAGCAGGAGCACAAACAGGAATGCCGTCGAAAAATTCTAGAACACTGTATTTGCCGAGAGACGCGTGAGATTCGTGACCGGGTCGCCTGACCCGTCCGATGCGACAATCACCCCGAAATGGGCCCGACAGCGCCGAATCTGAGACGGGGAAAAGTGTGGGGTAAGCGCCGGCGCACCGGTCGGGAGACACCAAAAAAGAGGGGCCACCAGGTGCCGCCCCAGTGACCCGGAGCTGGTGACTGCAGCATGTCATGACGCCGGACACCTCTTACTCAATGGGAAGACCTCCATGAATCATGACGGTTTCTCATGACGCACGACGAGAAAAAAAAAAAAAAATCACCATGGGATCTTTTCCTCCGCTGTGGAGATTTGTGCTTCCCTTATTGGGCCTTGTTTTCTTAGGGACTCAGGGGGCCATCGCATGGCTACGACCTGGCAATCAGCAGCACCACCACTGGGACAGCTCCCCTTCAGGATCACGAACCCCTTGCACTCAAACAACCGGCCAATCACAGCCCGAGCCGCCGCCAACTGAGGGATGCTGCCCACATCGCATTAGCCGCCTCTCACCCGCCCTAATCCCGATGTTGGCAAGGTGCCATCGTCCACTTTCACATGCACTGCTACAAGACTACTGTTCTTTTCCAACTTGGACAAATACCCGTTGTTTGCCTACATTTGCTTGGAGCCTCGCTCTGCTTGGTCCGCACCAACATCAGCTGCCCACTGGCTCAATACCAAGAGAGGGCAGCAAATAAATAAAACTCCCTGCCGAGACCTCCCAAGACACCTGTCAAAGGCGCAGCTGGCCACCGTTTTCCCCCTCGTGCATTTTCATGTTGTTGTCGCTGACCTGCATGTTTTCCCATGATTCATCCCAAACCACGAGAACTGCAACCCCTACCCCTCCAAGAACCCAAGGGGAGCAGACAGGCTAGTTTGTTCACCTACCACAAAGGTACCGCACTCGCTCTGTCTAGATCTCGCAGCTGCTGCCTCACAGTGGCGCTAGTTACACAACTGCCGCTAGCGCGGTGGCGCTCAGGTACCGTTCTCTCTTCTGACTGGCCCCCCGTCGCACGCAAGCCCGTCCAATATCTCTCCGCGCCTGATTTGTGGTCTCGCCAACACCCAAGCTTGGTCACCATCTCGAACGTGACTGGCCATGACGAAAACACACCAGTGTCCCCTCCGCTTGGCGAGAGGCGGGAAGGAAGAGCGGCTCCAGCCAGGCGGATAAAGTATGGATTGCATTTCTCATTTTTCAGGGGTCACCCGGAAGGGCTTGCTGAGCCGAATGCCACTTCCCGCGTGGGCAGTTGAAGGGTGTTAGGAAAAGAGCAATGCAGCCCATCCCATTCCCACCAACCAGATCGCCTAGAGATGGGCCGCGCCGCTGGTACCGAGCGAGCGCAAATCATCCACACTTTCCCGGGGGCGGCGCGCCTCTTTAAAGGACTCGCGCCCTTCGTCAGTGATTGGCAGATCCTCGAGATTGAAACAACGCCTCTGCCGACACATCCTCCCCAGGGCGGGGGGTGCAAGCCGTCTTGGGAGAACAGAAAGTCCAGATCTGGGTTGTTGACTTATGAGCGTCTTCATTGGTTACCCAGTTAAGCCCTTTGTCATTTCTTTTCCAGGCCATGCACGTTTGTCGAGACGTCCCCATGCCTGTTTCGGGAACAATGACCGCCACAGACATGTGTCCTGCGTGGCCGAGCCCTCGGCGCAACAAACAAGGGAAACATATTACGACATATAGGTCTCCCACCATCAGTCGGCGTCGATGAGCTGTCCTCGCGGCAGCGCGCCGCTGGCTCGGCCGCGTGCTTCCTTATTCTCGTGGGGTCCGAAGAAGGGGCCAGCAGCGTGTGTCCATCTGATGTTGCATGGACCTTTGTGCAACCCCAGAACCGGGTGCCCAGAGAGAGATGGGGCCAAGGATATATGAGCCAGACTGCCATCCGCCCTTCCTTTCGAATCAGCATCGCTGCTGAAGATTGGATGGATCTCCTGAGACTCGGGGGAGGGGGGTCTGTTGTCAACTTGGAAAAGGAAAGACGAGTGTCTTTCCTCATCCCCCGAGCATTTAGGCACCTTGCAGCTGCGGTCTGGACTTGGTCCTGCAGGTGTTGTTCCAGCAAACTGTTCCGTCGCAAGGGCCGAAGCTGCCCTTGGCCGGCACGGCATCTTCTTTTCTATGCCGGAGGCTATCCCTCGATATGGGGTGCTCTCAATATGGGGTTGTTGTATATAACAGTCGAGTCCCATGATGACCGCTGTCATCCTGTTCTCATGAGCACTCCTTCAACCCACCACCGCGCTTGGCCCCGCGACTGTCCTCACCATCGTGATCTTGCTTTCCAAGACATGTCATTCTCTTCACGATAGACTCGTTTCATTCCCTCTTTTAAAAAGCCTCTTGGTCTCTCACTGTCCTTTTCTGTTTCTTGAAGTCCATCGTAAACACATTCCTTCCTACACAAAGGCTCGCAAGCAAACACACATTCCTTACCGAAGTCCTGTACCAAACATGCGTCTCCACCACCTCCTCCTCCTCCTCCCGGCCGCCCTCGTCGCGGCCTGGGACGCCCCCTCCTACTCCGGCTTCACCCGCATCTGGCAAGACAACTTCGCTGGCGCCGCCGGCGCCGCCATCAACGCCGCCAACTGGAACATCATCACCAACCTGCGCGTCAACAACGAGCTGCAGGACTACACCACCTCGCGCGCCAACCTGCAGCTCTCGGGCGGCAGCACCGTGCAGATCGTGCCGTGGCGCGACGCCTCCGCCTCCAACGGCTGGACCTCCGCGCGCATCGAGTCCAGGTACACCTTCACGCCCGCCGCGGGCCGCCTGACGCTCGCCGAGGGTTATATCCGCTTCGGCGACAACGCGATTGCGAACAAGAAGGGCATGTGGCCCGCCTTCTGGATGCTCGGCGACGCGATCCGCAACGGCGTCGGGTGGCCGCGCTGCGGCGAGCTGGATATCCTCGAGACGGTGAACGGCGCGCTGACGGGGTACGGGACGGTGCACTGCGATGTCAACCCCGGCGGCGCGTGCAACGAGCCCAACGGTATTGGGGCGGCGACGGGGATCCCGGACCAGGGGTGGCATACGTGGCGGGTGCAGATCGACCGGAGGTCTAACTATTGGCAGACGGAGAGCATTACGTGGTTCCGCGACGGGGTGCAGTTTCACCAGATTACCGGCGCGCGGATCGGGAGCGAGGCGATTTGGAATACGCTTGCGCGCGCGCCGCTGTTTTTCATCTTGAATGTTGCTGTGGGAGGCAACTGGGTGAGTTGTCCTTGAACGATACGCTACGAGAGGAAGTTTTGCTAACTGCTACAGCCCGGTAACCCCGACGGCAACACCTTGGGTGGTTACGGAAGCATGATGGAGACCGCTTACGTGGCCGTCTACCAGTCGAACTAGGGGGGATGATGGTCACGTCACTATCTTTGAAGATATCACTCTGGATATTGTCAAGTTGCTGCTCCTGCAACTACGTCGGTCGCTGTACATATGTCATCAACATATTTAGATACCCCTTGTCAATGTTGCTTACAAATTGCACTCTTTGAATAACACCTCCATATGCACACAACTCATTTTCAGTATAAGCGGATATATGCTGGTATTCTTATTGAATTATGTTCTCATTGTTTTGTCATGTTCTTTACTCATACGGGGCTGAACTTCATGCTGTTCTTCCAAATCTTTACTTTCTAAAGGCACCCTCCCTCGGCGACAAATCGTCATAAAATACCAAACATCTGACCTCAATACTCTGCCGGCCCTTGGCATCAGCAGGCGTCGCAGGATCCTCAAAAGCAGTATGCGGCGTCAACCCCGCAATGCCGTGTCTGCCTCCCGGCAGGCCCTGGCTCCTTGAGTCGAAGCACTTGATGAACATGGCCTCGTCGGGCGTCATATCCTTCATGTAGTACAGCTTGTGGTTGTCATTCGGCGCAATAGCATACGTCTCGCCTGCCGTCAAAGTGTCAGCACATCCTCATCAACCTCTCACAAAACCGGACAAAACTCACCCTTAACCTCATACCCCTCAATCGACTTCGCCAGCGTCTCATCCGGCAAAACCTCCTTCCCGCGATCATCGTCATCCCCATCCGTCCTCTTCGGATACAACAAGTCCACCGCAACCAAGTCCTCCGGCACCGTCGTCCGCCAATCAATCACCGCCAGCGGGAAATCCGTCGCCGGGTGCCCGATCGGCCGCCACACATTAATAATCTGGTACCGCCCCTTCAGCAGCTCCTCGGCCTCCGCCGCGTCCTCGACGTGCCGGCGCACGCGCACCTCGGCCGCGCGCGGCGTCTGGTCGACGTGCACCTGCTGCACCGGCTGGCGCGGGCTCGACTTCTCGCGGCGGCGCACCGTGTGGTCGAAGATGACCACCTTCTTCACGCCCGGCAGCTTCGCGCGCAGCAGCGCCTCGACCTCGGCGTAGTAGCCCTCGCGCACGGCCTTCTCGTCCGTGAAGGCCTTCTCGGCGGCGGGCGCGTGGTAGACGGCGAAGCCCGAGACGTCGGTGCCGAAGGTGGAGGCGCCCGCGTCGCGGATGTTGGTCACGGAGCGCCGGCGCTCGGTGCGGCTGAAGGAGGTCACGTCCGTGTCGACCTTGGTCCAGGGCTTGCTGTTGTCGCCGGCGAGGGTCGCCGGGTCGACGTAGCGGAAGACGCCGGTGGTCATGGCTGCGATGTGCTGGTGGCGGGGTTGCGTTGTGGTGTGGGTGAGGCGGGGAAGTATGCGTCTTGTCAGTTGGGGTGCTCGTCGGAGGGAGGATCGTGCTCATAATACGGCTTCACAGCACAGCAGAGGAGAGGTCTCGGGTAAAGCCGACGTCAGGATGCAATGATGCCAATGGCGGTATCTGCAGAAGAGCTGTGCGGGGTGAAGAAGGCCGCCCCCCTTTTTAAAACAGATCGGAGTGCGGGCCGGGAGTGAGTGACACCACCCTTTCGTGATTGCATCACCGTTAACCAGTGAAGAGGGGCATTAGTCAGGCGGTGCTGTATTTCTAAGCCTTTTTTCCCTTCGGCTGGCTTCGGCGGACCCACTTCCGGGGCCGGCTGCAAATGCGGGCGTGATTTGAAATGGAAATCGCCGGCGGGGCCCCGCCGTGCTCTTTGGACGCCGATTTTTCTCCCGGTCGCGTGATCGGGGTGGGACGACGCCCTGAGGCGCCGGGTGACATTCCCGCGATTTTGTAAATCTGGATCACCATCATATCGGGATCCATATCCCGTTCTCAGTTGCTTATTTGATGCCGCGACATGTATTCCGTCAAAGCGGTCCTGTCGACAGCCAGGCACTGAATGAAGAGTCGGCCAGCCCGCGCTGAATATTCAATTGCCCGTCATCAATGCCCGTTGCGCGGCGGAGGCGGCTGAACGGAAGACGCTCGCTTGGTGCAGCAGCAACGCCACATGAGCCACATCTGTGCCCAGCTGCTCGTGGTCCAAGGTTCTGGGCTTATGAGTGAGTGAGCATAGGTGAGCAAAAAAGAAGAAAATTGATCAAGTTCAGCGAGGCATCGTCGCGATACGTGTAAGCGCCGCGCAAACCGGCTTCCACCTCTGAACAACCGAGCGTCGTTCGGCCGTCGTATTGCCTCGCTTCGGCGCCGTTTTGTCGTATCCTCTCGCTCTTAGGGTATCGGCAATCGATTGTGGACAACGGGCAACCGCAACCGCAAGCGCAGCCATGTTTCTTCGCGTTGAGCGGATTCGCCCGGGTCGCCCGCCATGACGTTGACAATCAAAGCTCTCCCCTGCCCAAACAAAAGCACCTACCACCACGTCCTGCCTGCCTTAACTCACCTTTTTACCCCGCGATCCACGGAAAATCACATCACATACAACCCAGGTGCAACTTCAACAGTCTCACTTCACAGAAAGACAGAGAGCAGTATAGGCTTGGAAATTCACTACAGAAAGGCAGGCAGTTTCCATTTTCCCACGGGGCCGAACCGCAACCAGAACGATGGCTCCCCTCCCGAAAACGATGAAGGCCATCCAGCTCAAGAGCTTCAACGCGCCGTATGCCGTCTCCCGCGTGCCCGTCCCGCGACCGGAGCCCCACCAGCTCCTCATCCGCGTCCGCGCCGCCGGCTTCTGCCACACGGACTGCATGGTCAACGAGGGCGCCTTCGATTCCCCGCTGCCCGTCATCGGGTCCCACGAGCCCGCCGGCGTCGTCATCGAGGTCGGCGCCGAGGTGCAGGGCTTCAAGGAGGGTGACTGCGTGGGGTGCATCAACTTTGAGGGTGCTTGTGGTGAGTGAGAGAGAGAGAGAGAGAGAGACAGCCCGTCGTCATGACCACACTCACTTCGCCGATCAATGCAAGACCGCCAACGCTGACTTTTGTCTTAAAGGGAAATGCCCCGACTGCAAGGCCGGGAGGCCGGTCTACTGCGACAACATGCTCATGAAGGGGATCACCACTGACGGTGCCTGGGCGGAGTACATGGTTGCGTACGCACAAACCATTCCTCAGCAGCCCCCCCCCCTCTCCTGTCCTCCTCTATTCTCTTTTCCATTCTCCTTTCCCCCATTGCTCGAGACTGCTGACTGGCGGCATCACACACACACAAACATACTGACAATCTATCCAGAGACTGGCGCTTCACCGTCAAGATACCCTATGCCATGTCCTACCCGGTGGCCGCCTGCCTCATGTGCGCCGGCATAAGCATCTACGGCGGCATCAAGCGCGCCGCCGTCCCGCCCGGCGGCTCCATCGGCATCGTCGGCATCGGCGGGCTGGGCCACATCGGGACGCAGCTCGCCAAGGCCATGGTCCGCACCCACGCCTCTCTCACACACACACTCTCTCTCTCTTTTGTCAACTAACCGCGTCCCCAGGGCTACAAAGTCGTCGCCATCGACGTGAAGCAGTCCGCGCTGGACCTCGCCGCCTCGTACCCCCTGAAACCAGACCTCGCCATCCTCGCAACCACGCCCGCCTCCGACGCCGTCTCGCAAATCGCGCAGGCCGTGGGCGGCGCGTACCCGGGCCTCGACGCCACGGTGCTCGCGACCGACGCGCCGGCGGCGTTCACCTTCGCCGCCGCGGTGACGCGGAAGCACGGCACGCTGGTGCTGCTGGGCCAGCCGGACGCGGGCATCACCATGTCGTACAAGGACGTCATCTTCCGCGACCTGACGCTCGTGGGCTCGCTGGTCGCGAGCAGGGAGGACACGGAGGAGCTGCTGGGGCTGGTGGCGGAGCACGGGGTCGAGGTGAAGATGAAGGAGTGGCGGATCGAGCAGGCGGAGGAGATGAGGCAGGAGTACCTCGGGGGCAAGGGGGAGGGGAAGAATGTGGTTGTGTTTGGGTGAGGGTGCGGTCATGACGAGCAGGTGGTGAGAGCAAGGCTCCGGTCCAGGCGTGTGCTTGCAGGTTTAAAGAAGAGACAGGACTTCAAGACAGAGAGGAAGTCTCGTCGGTGTACTGAAGCAGTGCAATGAACACAGGAGATGTGACAACAAGAGACCACTTAAGCTGTCCCCGTTTGACCTGAGGTTTGAACAAGGCTAAAAGGCGACAGCGTTTACTTGTCTTGTACATAGTTCGAGCTGAAACCGCTATAAAATGTTATAGAATGACGCTGGCAATCGGGGTGTCTACCTCATTATTGAATTGGACCAGATATCGAAGATTTCTCGGTGTAAGCGACGCCAGACAGCTGATCAATGGGGTGAGTGAAGCCAGCATATCAAGTTACAAAAACACTAGAAACGACGCTCTCTCGTTAGAGACTTGTAAGCTCACAAACGGGTTCACAACTCAGACGTAAAGCCAGACCGTAGATCCCCACACCCGAACGAACTGTTAACAACAAGAAAGTTGCTAAGCCTTTGTTTGCAAGCCCACACGACTCGATGAAGATTTCGAGTCAAAATCTATAACAGAAATTACAACACGCAAAAGAGAACTGACCAGCGCGGGGCTCGAACCCGCAGCCTTCAGATGAACAACTGATCCGCTTCACTGCGCATGAAGCTGATTAGAAGTCTGACGCGCTACCATTGCGCCAGCCGGCCGTGTTTGTTGGGTGTCCTGGGACGATCCCGATGAGACCCATCTCCGGTGGTGGAGATCGTTGCTGCCGGACCTCAGATGTGGTTCTATGTAGGTTCGCTCTTCTGATGATTCTGTTTGCTTTTTTTTTCCTGCAGTCTGTGTGTGTGTGTGTGTGTGTGTGTGCTGTTTGCCCCAGAAGCCTTTGTCGACGGTGGATCTTCTGACTCACCGTACCCATCGAAGAATCCACCAGGATACAGTACCTTTTTTCGTGTGTTACCAAGAAGTGGGATTGTATGTGGATTCCCACAACCAACTTTGCAGATGTTGCGCCGCCCCTCCTGACGTAACGATCGAGATGGTGGCCCATCGCCGGGGACCAGAAACCTCTCTGTTAATCTGCAACTTGCTCAACTTATTTTGCGTTTCGCTCTCTCCGTTTTCGTGGGCACGCCGAGCGTTTGTCCTTTCCCTCGCCGTCATCTTCGCTGATTGCGTTTGCATCTTACAAGGCACAGAAATCCTTGGCAAATTGAGATCCGTGACGCTGAGACTGAGAGAAGGACGCCCCGGCGAAGATCCCATCGGAAAGTATGAACCGATCCAATGCGGACATTTGACGAGACGGCACCAAGTGGGCACGGTTCGATCGATTTCATCAATCAACGAAGAAAGAGCACCGCCGGTGGGGGGAGGGAAGAAAAATTCTTTAGCAAAATTTCGCATTTCCCCGGACGGTAGGTTTAAAGTGCTTGCCTGCGGTCTGCCTGGCGCAGGGGAAACGGAAGCAAAGGGGACCTGGAGCGGAGCCTCCGTTCCGTTTTAAACTGCGAGAAAGGCCTCTCGAGCTTGAGTCAAAAGAAGAAGGACAACCCAGCAAAGACTCCATTTCATCAAAAAAAAAAAAAAAAAAAAAAAAAGGAAAGAAGGAAAAGTAGAATACTTCTTCACAACGGAGCTCCACCACGATAGTATTGCATCATCAAACGCAGCCCGCTCCAAGCCGGTCGTGGTTCGTTTCGCTCGCTCGCTCGCCGTCGCGGTACCAACGCCGGCGCACCGCTTCTAACAAGTACCTACCTTACCTTAGGTAAGGCACACTGGGTAAGGTGGGTTTCGGAAGGTCTCCCCGGCACGCCTCCCGTCGCATCCTCTCACGTAATGAAAAAACGCCTTCAGGTCCTCCTTGAACCTTCCGCCGCCGTCACCGCCGCCTGCCCGGCGCATGTGCTGAGTCTCGAGAAAACACGCGGTGGTCGCGGCCGGCTCCGATTTGTCACAGGGCGCATACCTTCTCGGCCTTCTGGCATGACTTCGGCCTGACTTTTGTGACTCGACGGAAGTTCACGATGCTTTGCTTTCCCTGGCGGGCGCCGCCCCGCCTCCAAAACATCCGACACCCAACTCAACTCAACCCCCGACGACGCACCCCTCCTCCCGGAATGCCACCCGATGCCTGCGTGCGGCCTTGCGGCCTGGTGCTGGGAGGCACACTCACACCGGCCCGGTGCGCCGGTTACAGCGTCTGCACCTGCCGCCGGCCTTTGCCCATCCCTTTCCAACGTCCCACAGCAGACACACCGCGCGAAAACGTGCCCGGCGGCGTACCGTCGGCGTACAGTCGGCGTACCGTCGGCTGGCCGAAGACGAGGCCGCACCCACCCCGCCAATTGAAGCTTACACCGCGCCATCGTGAACGCATCCCGCGAGGCAGCAATGGCGCAATCCATCCCCCAAAGCCAAAGCCAAAGCCAAGCGGGTGCAGCTGCCTCATCTGGGCGCAACGTTTTCGTTTTCTCTCTGCCTGGTTTTCATCTACCACACACAGAGGTAAATGTTCCCAAGTCTCGGCGCTCAATTCCCGCCTAAACTTACTTAACCTATTAATGCATGGATTTCCATTCTCGAAACTGCAACTACCCGCGACATCTTCCAAGCCGTGACATGACGAAGCTCCACCGCCAAAACATTCTCACGCCCACCGAGCTGTGACCTCCCGTTCATCCACAAACGTTCCAGACCACACTGCCAAGTTCCCAGTAGTCAGCGCTACCTTCTTGTCTTCAACCGCAAACCCGCCTCTGCCACTCAGAACCGCGGCCCGAGAGACTCGTACTACAGAAAAGGCTAACCGCCGTCTCGGAGCAAACCTCCAAACAGAAAATCCAAAACGTAATCCACCGCCACAGTCATCGTGACGATTCGATGCCAAGTACCCCTTACCTTTAACCCATTGTGTGCTTGAGCAGGAAAAAAAAAAGCTCAGGCCAAGGGGCGACAACACCTAACCGCGCCAGCGCTCCCAAGCCTTAAAGTGCTTGCCGCTGCGTTCTAGAACCCTACCCAGTTTCCATCAAGTAACAATTTCATAAGATCAACCCCTCCCCTCCGAACTCTCTCACTCCCTTGACACCTCAACCGCCAACCCAGCCCAACCATCACCGTCGTCTCATGCAGCACCCGTAGCCGTTCCCGCTAGCCGTCCCTCTTTCCCGCTGGCTGGCACTCTCAATGCAAACACACCAGACAACGTGGACAATGCGTCCTTTTGAGCCGCACAGCAGGGGACTAGGCAGGCAGGCTAGAACTCGCCGCCCATGTCCCAGGGAAGGGTTCATCCCCGATTCGCGCGCGCGCTCTTTTCACATGTCATCCCACTTGACTCAAGGAGGGGCAACGTCTTTCGCATGTTTGAATTTTTTTTTGTCTTCGGGGTCTGCTGTTTCGATGAGCGGGCGTTGTTGTAGTTGTCTCGTTGCCAATGAATCGCAGCACGCTCATCCATCGCGATGAAGCGCAAAAAGTAAAAAAAGGTGCCTAGGTATCCGAAAAGTCTCCACATAGGCTTTGTAACTGCACTTGTCCGCCTTTGTAACACTCTAAGTTGCTGCTTGCGTTGCGCACTCTGTGTCTGTCGTAATTACTTGCGCAACTTGCGGAATTCAATCATCATAGTTTACAAGCGTGTATTCACTGGTTTCATGAGTCCGTAGTCATAGTTGAGAATGGTGATGTAATTACTATATCTATATTTCGCTGTTGGAAAAGCAAGAGAAAACATCAGAGTGGCTGCTGAGAAGCCGATTCGGGGAAGTATTCTTCGCCCGCCCCATCACAACCGAAACTAACAACGCCTTGCAATGCTTCAAATCATCTCTTTCTCTTCCACTGGTCCTTTCACCGTGATTCTTCAAATATAACAAAAAATAGTCCACAATATTTCTCTCCAAAAGTAACCAACAAATATCGACAGTAAACTGAAGGTGTAAATGGCGCCCGGTCGTTGTCCGAGGGGTATAATGTGCGTAAAATCCAAAAGAATAAATGGTTTCCAAATCAAATAACTTTTTGTTTTCCTTTCCCAGTTTCGCTGTCCCAAATAGTTTTCCACCTCTTAATACATTATGCTTTCCTCCACTCTATAAAAACAAGATTTCATGTCGCATTCGTAGATTGGTGGGTGTCATGATGTAGATCCGTTGACGGACCCCTCGGTGCTGTGCGTCTGCCCGTCCAGAGACTCGAGGCTCTCGTACTCCACGGGCGGGACCTCCGCGCCGCCGTGGCCCAGCTGCCGCTGCAGCTCCTCGGGGTACGCGGGCGGCGAGGGCGGCACGTCCTGGTAGACGGGCGGCGCCTCGTTGTCCCAGCTCACGCCGAGGCCGGGGCACTCGGTGAGCATGACGTGGTAGTGCATGCGCAGGATGCGGCCGGTGCCGGTCTGCGTCGCGAGGTGCGGCTTGCCGATGGGCGCCCACTCCTTGGAGACGACCATCTCGATCATGAGGGCGTGCGAGACCTCGGTGCCGTCGTGGGACTTTGCGTCGCACGCGTAGCGCGGGCCGTGGGAGTGCTTGCTGCTGCTGCCGGCGATGACGCCGTAGTCGAACTCGAACTCGACGTGGCCGTCGGTCGAGGTGTAGTCGCTCTTCCAGCCGTCGTGCATGTACTTCTCGCCGAGGACGCGGGTCTCGGTGCGGGGCGCGCCCTTCTGCTGCGTCGGCGGCGTGGTGGCGGTGCCGGCGGGGGTGTGCTTGTCGCAGGCGGGCGCGACGGTCTTGATGGTCTCCTCGAGCTTCCAGGTGACCTTCTTGAGCTTCCAGAACTCGACCGTCTTGTTGGTCTGGTTGGCGGTGGTGAGGCCGTCGAGGCGGAAGGAGACGTTGTGGGTGCCGGCGGGGTGGATGACCTGGTTGTAGTGGGCGCTGGCCTTGATGTTGGTCGGGGGGAAGACGCGGACGGAGTGGTGGGGGAACTCGGGCTGGGTGAGGGAGCGCTTGACGTCAAAGTTCTGCTCGAACTTGATGGGGTGGTTGGCCTGAGAAGAGCCGCTCTTGGGGAGGACGGCCTCGGCCTTGAACTCGTAGGTGATGGAGGTGAGCGGGGTGTCCATGGAGGCGGGGAGGTGGCCCTCGAGCAGGATGGAGAAGGGGAAGGGGTGGACGCCCTTCTTCAGCGTCGTGGGGTGGGCGAGGAAGGTCCAGCGCTTGAGCTCGGTGTACTGGTTCTGGCACTCGTTGCAGTGGTTGGTGAAGGGGCGCTTGTGGTGGACGTGGATGTTGAGGCGGGCCTCGAAGGCCTCGACCTCGAGGTGCTCGTCCTTGACGTCGAGGAACATCTGGCCCGAGACGAGGGCGCCGGTGGAGGACTCGGCATCGCCGAAGAAGACGATGGGCGGGCTCTCGATCTTCCAGTCCAGCTTTGCGTGCGGGTTCTCGTGGGAGTCCTTGGCGGAGCGGCCGAACGGCAGCGAGATGCGGTGGTGGTGGTGCTTCTTCTCCTTGAGGTGCTCGACGGCGGGGGGCTCTGCGGCGAACATCTTGTTGTAGGGGATGTGCTCGCCGTCATCGGAGGAGTAGGAGGAGTGGCGGTCGAGCGGTAGCCTGCGCAGCAAGCCCTGGTCCTGCACGTTTGTTGTGCTGTGGTGTTGTTGTGTCGATGACTGGTGGCGGATGGTCTTTGTCTTGAGGTTTGCAATTGCAGAAACACTGAAGTTCTCAGTGGAATTGCGCAGGAAATTGGCGACTCGGTGGGGCATGGTTATGGTTGTTGGAAAGGGTTTCCCCGGATTGCCTATTTGGCCGTTTAGGTGGTGCTGGATCTGGCTGTAGTTCGGTTCGATGCGGCTTCCAGGGCGCTTCTATTTAATTCTTGGCCGGGCCTAAGATGGGTATTGGAACCACCGACTCAAGAAGAAAAAAGAAAAAAACCGAGAGTGACGACCAGGGGGGGGGGGGGGGGGCGGTGGTGTCTGGGACGATGATGTGGTGTGACGTTGGGCGCAGGGCCCGTCGCCGGAGTAGGGCTCCCAGGCTCAGGGAGCGGACAAGGGAACAAGAGAGAGAAAAAATAGACGATTCGCCGGATCCCGAAGGACGGGCGAGGGAGACGCGGGCGCCTGGGCGCAGTAAGCTCGGTGGAGGAGGTACCTTGCGCTTTTCGTGAGTCGAAATAAGGCGAAGGGCCGCCCGGTACGGCTAGGGCGGTGAGTAAGGCGAGTGTGTAAGTGGAAGAGGCAATAAACCAAACACACACAGGTGATGACCTGAGATGGATATTGCGGGATACGGGCAGGTAATGGAGAAAAAGAGGAGCCTGCAATGCAAGGAGGGACGCGAGGTCGAGGTCTGCTGATGTTCGTTTCTGCTGGTCTTGTCTCCTTGACCTATGAGTCTGGTGGGTGGAAGGGGGGTCGAGTCCCTTTGTACTTTTTGTTGCTCAAGTCCAAGTGACGGATGGAGGGGTCGCTTTGTCGTCTTCTCTTTGGGTCTTCTCGAACCCTTGCCGGATGGGAAAGGACGAGGCGCAAGGTCTGTGGTCTCTCCTGTCCTGTTCCCGTTTGGTTTTCTGCCTTTGGGGCTTCGTGCAAGCCAAGAGGGAAGCTTGTTTGGGGCTAGGTAGCGGTGGTGGTGGAGGAGGAGGGCAGATGAGAGATCTGCTCCTTGCGTTGCTCAAGCTGGAAGGGCCAAAGCGATGTTGGAAGATGCGGGGTGTGGGATGGGTAGAGTTGCGTTTGGTTCGCTTGGGCGTGTGTGATGTGGCGCGCAGATGATGTCGTCTCTTGTCGACCTATTCAGGCTGTCTTCGTTGTCGTTTCTGGCTGGTTGGTGGTGTTGTTCGTTCTCGCTCGCAATGACCTTTTTGCTTGCCACGAGGGAGAAGAAACGAAACGTTCGAAACGAGGTGGGTGGTCTGAGTCGAGACGGTCGAGGACGCAAAAATATCTCTCGTGAAAAGACTTCGTTTTCTCTTTCTCGTGGAAAGGAAAAAGTTCTTCTTGGCCCCGTGTAAGTCGACGGCGGTGATGGGAGTGACTGTGACTGGGGTGCAGCTGCAGCGCTTAACGGCGGCTTCAGATGAGATGCAGCGAGCGAAAGTGGAGGTGGTGAAGGAAGGCTCTTTTCCGTATTAGTGCGGTGTTGGGTGTGTTGTTCGTGTCTTTGTTGGTAGACGTAGACAACAGCTGTGTCGTTGATGGATGAGGGTATCGTGAGGAGCAAGAGGCAATAGCAGATCTCTTGAACGAAAAGTGGTCACAGCTCAGCTCTTCTAATAAAGCTCCCTCCGTCAAAGCAGGACGTCGCGTTATTATGTCTCGCCAGCTCGTGATGGTCAAGCTTTTCATCGAGTAATTATGTGTCATGGAAAGGGAGGGTACCTGACGAGACAGCTCCGCTCTAGCGTTTGACACGGCCCAGCCCAGCGCGCATCGCTCCCTGGAGCCCGCTGTAGAGCTGGTCAATTTGCCTGGTGTGAAGCCCGTGGAAGGAAAAAAAAAACTGCGATCCATGGAGGGGCAGAAGTGTGAGTCCAGCCAGCCAGTCTCCACTGAGGATCCAGCAAACACCTCGACTGCAGCACATAGTACCCTACCAGGCTCGTCAACTGAGGGCGTGAGCACACACTGCACACCACAATGTACAATGTACTGTACTTTGCTAGGTTTTGGGGCCAACATGACCGGACCGCCCAGCCAACAGCGCCCTTCAACGCAACCACTTGCTCGAACCAAGCAAGGACCGAGTCCACTGTCCGCTGTCCGCTGTCCACTGGCCAGGGCATGGCATGGCATGGCATAGCCTGCCCATGGGTCGAGGGGACTGCCCTCCTGACCTTCCTTGGTTCACTCTCCTGAGCCATGACACTTACAATGGGTAATAGGGCCCACGTGTGTACACTCAGAAGAGTACTTGCACCAAAGTCCAAGGTAATACGTACCGGGCCGGAAACCAGTCCCAGTCCATCACCAGCGGCGGCTGCCACAACCTGCTACGGCGTTCCGTTAGATTCCCATCTCAGTTTCCAGACCTGTCACTCTCCTAGAGGAGGCCCGGAGATGCTCCCGCCTGATCGCGCCCCTTGTCGGTAGCGGGCAGTCCAGCGCGGCGGCGGTCAGCCAAGACAGCAACCATTTCCCTTCCCTCGGTACGTCTTCCGCTTTTACTCACAGACTCACTGGCGGCAAGTACTGTCCTTCTCACCGTCCTCACAGCCATACTTAAACTACGGAGACTGGCCGGCCACATGAAAGAAACAACCGAAAAAAGTAACATCGCGATGTACCTGACCGCTCCAGGGAACAACCACCTTCGCGCCGCCTGTGTCGTTTTAAACCTCGATGGGCGGATTCGCGCACCCTAAAACTAGTGCCCGGTCGCCCACAATTGCGCAACGCCAGGGGCACGGCGTCGCAATGGGAACGGAGGGGCGCCGGACGGGACGCAGAGCAGCCCACGCCGGTTACAGAACAACGAGGAAACGTGAATGGAGACACGCAGACTGACTGGACGAGACCACGACACGTACAACCAAAGGCTGAAAAGCTTCACAAACCAGAAACAGCATTGATGGATACCCGCTACCACTCTAGGTAACAAAACAAGTTGTGTCTAGGTACTGTACGTGGTTCAAATGGTATGGCATCATGTTTACCGCCGTCGTCGCAACAGTCCCGGTCGCAGCCACCATGGAGCCGCGTCCCATCACCAAATCCATCCCATTCATTCCATCAACCCATCCAGGTACCTTGTTGGGTGTGCTTGGCCATGCCATGCCATGCCATCCATCCTTTTGCCCACTTTATTAGTTTCTATTGTGAGAATCCGCGAGAGAGAAGAAGATGTCCGTCTCGTGCCATCGCATCACACCCATCCCTGCCTTACGTTTTCCCTTCCTTGGGGGTCGAGTACGCACGCAGGCGGTCTGGTTGTCATCCGTTTGGCGGTAAAAAAAAAAAAAAAAAAAGGTACATGCACCAGGTACCTTTTGCCCTTAATTTGTGCTGTATGTAGGTATGATGCCAGTATCTCGCAGAGTGATGCCAGGTCCAAGACGGCCCAGAAGCTTCTGAGGCCCAGCACGCACACATGCACAAACACACACACGAACGGCCGGCGATCGGTTTGGCAGCCGCCCGGCATCGCCCTGCGGAAAATGATGCGATGCACCGTTGGCGACAGAAACCGGTAGCACATCAGATGGGAAACATGAGTTGTTGCCGCCCGCCGCCGTCAGGTACTTTCTCTGCCACACACGGCGTCTTTCTCCCAATGTTGCGGTGTCACAAAATGCCATGTGGTACGATTCTCGGCTCCGATGCTGGTCTGCCGAGAGGGATACTTTTTTCTGGTCGTCAGTTGTGGAGGCAGGCGCGTTTCTTCGCGGACGGAGCCAACTCCACGACGACCGGTGCCATCGTGACTTGTACGTGAGGCCATCCCAATGCACCTGCCCGGGAGAAGCAGGCTGTCTTCTCCAGCCAAGATCAGAATCAGGCCTAAATGCTCCGGACGGGGAAGGGCGCGGGAGAGGGCGAGAACTGGGGAACTTGGGGAGAGGGCGGTTTGTTGGCGGAGGCCAGCACACACACAGCACACTCTGCGCGCACACGGCTCCGCTGGTGACATATTCATCGTGACACTTCTTTTCGGTGTCCCCCTTGACGACGGGCAGAACGACACACGGGCGAGCTGTTCGTCTGTCCCCCCCAATTCATGCAGTTTGTCTGTTCCTTCGACCTTGAGGCCGTGCCGGACATAGCGCTTGCAGGATGCCACATTAGTCAGTCTACTTTTTCTCTCGTGTTGGCAGCAATCGTTTTCTTCATGACTTGCATGGTGGCGCCGGGCCGTTTTGGCATGACAAGTTCGCGTTGTAAGCTGACGACAGCCTCCCTTCTCCGGCGCACCGCACGCACTTTGAAGACGTGATCCAAATTCTCATCACGTCTCTCCTCCTCTCGCAAATACCGAAGTTCCGAAACGCAATCACGGTAGCGGTGACCCCGTATCCTACTTCCCCCAAATCCCCCGCCACAGCAACAGTGCGAGCGTGGAAGCTAAGTGTTCTGATCTCAGATCCCATCATGCCACCTTCCATGGTTCGGTGCGCAAATAGCCAAGAACGATCGAGAACATTTCCCAACTTGGCAAAATTCCAAAAAAGAAAACGGAGGCGCAAACCGTAATGTTTCTCTTCGCGTCGGTTTCGAGCCGACACCACACACCCCACCACAGCGTTTGTCAGAGAAACGGAACAGCATCCCGGTGCGCATCCGTCCCGTACTAAATGTCACCGGGAAAGGGGAAGACTACAAGTACCCATAGAGGTTGGGACCCGCCAAGCAATAGCCTCAATCTCACGATGGGGCTCTTTTTCTTTCTCCTTTGAAATTTTCATCAGAGCCCCATGCGCAAGAAAGAGTCACTTTTTCTCAGAGAGTGAAGGAAAAAAGCCTGGACTCGACTCGACGCCATCCAGGCCAAGCGCTCAGGGAACGTGGACAGTGGCTGACAGGGATGTTGCAGGTGCATGTGCAAACGGGAAGCGGGAAACAGGGGGGCGGATCACGGGCCCAGACCCGCTTCCAAGGCCAGCCGGCCAGTCATGTGGTTTCTCTTACGTATGGACGGGGTCACCTGCCCATCCCATTTTCGACGGAATTTTTCCCAAGTCCTTTTTTCGAGTTTTTTCCCCTGCACGTTTCCTCTCACACACCTCCAACTTCAACTGAACTGATGGCTTGCTGGCTGCTGTTCC